AGCTTTTGATTCTAAAGGTATATTCCAGACGAAGGTGGTCCTTCAACAGGATCAAACACAAACTCCCGTCAGCCCTCCCGTCCCGCCCGTAGGTTGGCGCGTACCGTGAACGCCGGCACCTTTGGCCGCGTCTCCTGAGACAGCTCACTTCGATTCGTCCAAAACCACCGGTCCGCCAAAAAGCAAAGCTTCACAAAGCCCGCCCTCGTGTCAACACTCTCAAGTGACTTGTGGGGGTCCATGGTCCAACTTTGGGCAGCCCAGTCAATCACCAATGGACAGTTCAGGTCCCTCTAAAGAGGGTGAGGGCTGACGTGCAACGTGCGCATGCCCGTTTTCCAACACGCTGAGCAGATCGTTCGATGGCCAAACGGGTTTGCCCAAAGGGGCCAAACACATGTGGACAATTAACCAAACGTGTTTATGTGTTTGTGTGTGTGTGTGACATCCCAAGCCCGCCTGCGCTCGAGGCGAATGATGTGGCCTGCAACAAGAGGTGGTTGCACAGCATCTCTGAAGCTTGGAGAGCTCTCTTCCCCATTTCAATGGCCTGGAACTCACGAGTCTTGGCTTAACCTTTCTTGGTTCGGGTGACAAGCAATTAAAACCTCATTTCGAGGATTCGTGTCCTCACTCAGCTCAACACCTCCCATCCAGAAACCTCGTGCGGTGACTCGCCTAGGCTGCGACCGCTACCACATCGGTGCAGCGGTGCGCCGCAAATTCAAACTCTTGAGAGACTAAGAAGGGGAGGCACAGTCTCGCATCCGGCGCAGCATCAACTCAAACAACTGGGCCGAATTTGGAACTGCAAACAGTTAGCTTATTGCTTTCCGCATCCTCATGGGCAGCAACGCTGCGTTCACTTGCTGCTGGCTAAGAGGAAAAATGAAGGAAACCAAGGGAGAAAGGGCAAGCATGTGAGTTGCAACTGCTTCACGGGTTGCCTTTACTCGCACTGCGTGACATACTGCATGCAACTCCTTCCTCCAAGATTGAGGGCAAGGGTTTGCCCATGGGCTAGAAAGTCCACACTTTGGGGCGGGCATTCCTCCCTTCTGCCTTGAACACGGAACAAGGCATGGACCCAGTACAGGGTTCGGCGTACATAACTTCAACATGTAAGGCTGTACTCAGTTGCCCAAAGGACCTGTAAAAGGTGAACCTTTTGGGGACACGACAAAAAATGGGCCAAAACAGGGAAACCAAAAGGATGTGCGTATGTGTATACATACGTACGCATATACATCTGCCCATGAATCGAACCGAAATGACTTGAGGTTCCCTTCAAACGCCGGAAGCTGCCTGCGGCTCGAGATGGGCGGCGCTGGCAACGCCTGGCTTGGCAGGTGAGGAGTGCAAACCAAGAAGCACAAAAGGTAAGTGACTGAAGGAAGCGAATGTATCTCAAAACCCAAAAGCATGGGTTGCCTACGCAATTCTGCCAGGGCCGCATACTACTCTATGTGTAGGTGCTTTTCACACCCAAACAAAGTCCTGCAAATCCCCTTTGTCCAGCCCGCCTGCTATACCCCACAGTTTCGCCAGAAAATCAAATGTTTTCCTGCGCACTCCCAACAGTGCTGCAGCGTTGGATTCATGTCACTGCATCCTTCTGAGCAAAGACACGCATCAGCCAAGATTGTCTGACACCCAAAAAATGAATTCCTTCTGAAAATGCAAATTTCTTACATCTTTCTATTAAAGGTTGTTCACAAAGTGTACCCACGTCGAGTTCCAATATGCGGCATTGACACGTTCTAAAGCAATCCTCCCAACTCAACCAGTGACGCTGCAATTTTCCGAAGTTGCCCAAACCTTGCCCAATCCCAAGGAATATCCCCCAATTGCCCCAAACGTATCCAGCCCTCCCGAAGGGTTGAAAGTGGGCTTTGCCACAGGTTGACATTGTTGACCCCCTGGCAGCAAGGTGGCTGCTCTCCGGGGTTGCATTCAGTGCCGCTTTTCAAGGTTGGTAATTGTCCCTACCCAACGAACTAGGTTTTTGCTGTTGGCTCCGTTGTCAACATGGTTTGCTCGCGTAACAGCATATAAATAATATATATATATATATATATATATTCTTGCCTTGGGCAATCTCGAAGGCTTGATTTGGGATGCTTTGCGCGCGAACACCCTGCCCGCCCTGTGGGGTAGTTTTAGAGTTTTCTTGCATTCGGTTTGGTCCTAATTTGTTGCTCATCAAAGGAAACTTCCGTGGTGCGGACACTACTTGAAAGCTAGCTCACAAACAAATGACGAAAGAAAAAGCACGCACGAGAAAAAACGCCTGTGCATGTGCACGAGAAAAATCCCGCGTGCGGCGGAGAATAGAAATGTACAAAACGTGGCTTCAATTACTGCGGATGCTCGAAAGTTAGCCTGATCGCGACGCCTGGTCGGAGCGCTTCCGGAGCAAGACCAGCCAAAAGTCCGCAGAGGGCTCAACTGTTCATTCTCCGCAAGCAGAAAGGCGCAACCAAAAACACGAGGTTTTTTGAGGTCGACAGCCCGACAGTCAGCAAAGGGCGACGGCTGTATACCGTGGTGGGTCGCAGGGCGGAGGGCGAGACTATACACAAACACACATGACATATGCCCCCCCCCCCCGCCGGCAGGCCACACAATGAAAAGCTGACCTTCTTTAGCTTGATTGACCCTGTGCAGGTTTCAGCGCTTCGAAGTGCAGTTTGAATACTGGGATGAACCACCTACCGACTGGTGCCAAGTGGATTTTGTCCATCCACAGTGGACACTTGTCCATTTTGCAATCATGTTGGTCTGCGACAAATGACTCAGAAAGTTCAAGTTGACACACGGGCGTGTCTTTTGAAAAAACCCTCTTAAAAATTCTGAAGGACAACCAAAGGGAAACCGCCCCAGTCTTGGAGTCCCCTATTTGGTTGTGGGTCAAAAATAGGTACCCCAAATGTGACCCTGGCAAATGGAAACATGGACTCAAACCTGCCCCCTGGCGGTTTAGTCTTGACCCATACCCATTTGAAGACACACGATTCCCATGCCTGCGCCAGCGATGGTGCAGAAGCCGATGGCTGCGACTGCGCCCAGCTCAGGTCCCCCTGCGCGCAGCTTGGGCGCGGCGGGGGGGGGGGGGGTCAAAACTATGGGCCCTTTGTAAAAAAACAACTACTACTACTACTACTAGACCACGGTTGGCCCGAAAGCATCACAGCCCCGTGATCATTCCCTCGCAAGTTTTTTGCTCGATGTGCAATCTGTCAGCGACAAACAGCCATCAGCTACAGCAAGAGGAGCGCTTCACTTTTGAAGGCGTTTCCTCTACTCTGGAAGAAGAGGAGCGTTCACTTTCGCTTGTTGCTCGCGACCTCCGGCCCCAGACCATGTCCTTCTCTTCTTGCGCTTGTCCTTCTCTTCTTGCGCTTGGCTGCGATTTCCCCTTCAAGCCGGCAGGCCATGACGAGCCGTGGAGTCTAGCTACTTCGCGCTCCATGATATGCGCTTGAGCCGATGCTGAGATAGCACTGCCACAGATTCACTAAACCTGACCGGGTCACGAGCAATACACAACGACAATTCCTCGTTCCTGCTATCTTGCCACCTATCGGACCCCCCTCGCGCGAGTTTGCCAAGCACGTCAAAGATGACACATATACCGCCCTCGTGCAAAACAGTGCCTACAACGCAAATGACTCTCGTGAGGACTCTGTGCAATGACTCTCATGATGACTCTGCGCAATGGCTGTCATGATGACTCTGTGCAATGACTCTCATGATGATAATTCTCCCAACGGAACAACCTGACTTTTGCTCTGTCCAAGTTGCCCTGTGCTAGCTGCTCTGTGCAAGTGCTTTGTGGAAGTTGCTCCGCCGATTTTCCAGCCGGAGCTGCGTCCGCGTACTGCATTTGCACTTAAAAGTTGTGATTTCTGTCTAGAAAAGCTGCCGCGGACCAGGCGGGGGTCGAGCCCGCGACCGTGCGACTCCGAGAGCAGCCGCGCAAACCACGCGACAACTTCCAAAGACCAGCTCGCAAGCAACAAATTCGCACGGCGCCACAGCAAGAGCGCTTCGCGCGATCCTCAGTTTTTAACATTGACCACGCGGATCTCCGCAGAGGGTCGCGTGGGAACCGCTGAAATCGCAAAAAGTCCTCAGTTTCTTAAGGTCGACCACGCTGATCTCCGCGGAGAGTTGATTTTCGTAGAGTGCTGTCGGCCCTACCCCGCCGCCCTAAGAAGAGAAGAGAAGAAAGGAATTTAAAACTCCTCGCAAGTGACTCTCATGAGCATTGCTCCTCGCCAGTGACTCTCACGAGCGTTGCTCCTCGCCAGTGACTCTCACGAGCATTGCGCCTCGCAAGTGACTCTCTTTGCAATGACTCTGTGCAATGGCTCTGTGCAAACGACTCTGTGCAATGACTCTGTGCAATGACTCTGTGCAATGACTCTGTGCTATGTCTCTGTGCAATGACTCACATGATGATGATGATGATGACTCTGTGCAATGACTCTGATGATGATAACTCTTTGCAATGACTCTCATGATGATAATTCCCATGAACCGGAAGAACCCATGCTTTCGGGAAACACAAAAAACTTTCTTCGGATGGCACAGAATGACACCCTCTAAAAAATGTACCCTACCTTTGACAACCAAACGATGCGAGACTTCTGGACAGTGCAAAGTATATGGGCTGTTGCCGTGACAGGGGTGGCAGACCACAACTGTATGTTATGCTGACGTAGCATGGCAAATCTTGTGAGACCTGCATACCACCAGGGTCCCCAGCCATTGACTTTCATTTTGGGGGATCTCGGCCGTCTGCCCAGACAGGCTTTTTCGTCAAGCATCTCATACATCGTCTAGGGGAGCGACACAGATTCCTGGACTGCAAAATCAATGTCCTCTGATCTATCGTGAGGACATGATCGCGAGCGAATGGGACCAACAGGATTCATGAATGAGGCTGATCCAGTTTGGTGCAAGCGACTCCATTGAGAAGAAATCTTGAGAGACAAGCGAGAAAAACAACAGCTACACGTGTTCCGGCAATCTGGGTCGAGTGCGCTACGGGGGCATGTGCACCTCCCGCCCAAAAGCTCGCAAATGAGCGCCAAGACCTTGCTTGGTATGAAAGATTACTCAATGGCAGGTGTCAAACCTAGGTGCAAAAAAGCAAGATGGCTTGAGGGAATCCGGACACCTACCAGTTGAAACGTGCTGACGGGATCAGGGATCCGAGTTCACAGGCCAAGCGCTCATCCAACGCTGATCTGTGGACAAGGGCCTGGTGTCATTTTTTTGCCAAAGGTGCCACTCAAAACAAACATTTAACAGATGACATAGTTCCTTCCAAGCAGCCACCAGAGAAAAAGCGAAAAGCCACCTCACAGCCAGACTGACGTGATTCTGCTGGAAATCATCTTCTCCTGCTCCTTCTTCTTCACCGCCCTTGCCAGCCTGCCCTTCTGACGCTTCATCTCTGACAAGCTGCAGATATGGCATCGGCTGCAATCGTCTCCTCTGGTGCAGCCCTTAAACGTGTGGTAGAAGCACGGTAGGCACTTGCCGATATGGTGCAAGTGCCGCTTGACAAGCTGCGGAAAGGGGACGCTCTGCTCTGGCGGCGCTTCCTCGGCAATCCACTCAGCCATTGCGACTAATAAAACGGTGAACGCGATATGCGAATGTGCTACATCACAGCTTGAGCCGATGAGCATCTAGCACAGCAAAAGTCGATGGCACATGCGTGAGCAGAACTTTATGGTGCTCAAGACAAGGATGCGATGCTCCTGCAGGAATCTCAATCCTCTTACCCGGTACATATATATGTATATATATATATATACATACACATGGGCTTGCCTAATATATATATATATACACATGGGCTTGCCTAATATATATATATATATATATATAGGGACATATGCAGTGGTCCGTCTGAATGCTCGCCAGTACAAGATTCTCAATTCAGGAGGTGAATCAGTGTGCTCTACCGAAAATCCCATACACGAGCGAACTGCAGAATATGTGGGGCAAATAAAATTCAAGCTCACGAGCTGCATTGGATTGGCTGCCAAGGGTTCGACTCGCAGGCAAGCAGGGACGCTAATATATAAGTTATATAAGCAACAGTCTGGATTCCCGATCTGTGGATCCTGAAGAGCTACCCGCTGCTACCCGACAGCTAGAATCATCTGAATCCAAAGTGTCGAGAACGCTTCCGGCAATAGTGAGCCGGATCAATGAAACGGACCTTCACTTGGCATCACTGCGCGAATCCTGCAATTCCACAGCTCAGCCGTTGGTCACAGGTTGCCGGCCGCGGCAAAAGCCAACAACTCCCGCAGGATGGTAGCCCAAGCTGTCCGCCGGCTCGCAGCCCGCATGAGACAAAACATCCGAAGTGCTGCATTTCCACAGTCTGGGGATGCCCCCACAAACGTGACACCTGACAGGGACACTGAAAAACATGGATCTGCAGGTTCCCTACCACAGGTGCCATGTTTGGGAAGGTATTCTCACTCTAGTAGTACACATGCCATCAACTGCACGGCCAAGCATGTGCTGACCCCCGAATTGCTTCAACATGCCTGCCTGTGACACGAAGCAATTGTTTGCAGACAGTGTTGTGCTTGTCCCCAACATGTTCTTCTTGTTGAGACCTCCCAAAAAGAAATTGGTTCCAGCCAAAGGAGCAGACAACAACAAACCTTCCTGTACATCCCTTCAATAGCAGCCTCTCGCGCAAACACGAGCCGCGGAGCGTGGTTTTTTTTTTCACCTGCGTCGACAGATTCGCCTCTCGACCGGCCCCGGCGCACTCGTGTCGAAGGGTCGTCAATTGAAGTGCATGCCCATATGGGGGATTCCAGGATTCCCAAAATAGGGAACCCCTTTTGGGATTTCAAGGGAAACCAACAGGACACCTACCTGAAAAGGTCCCCCACTTTGGAGAAACACCCACATGAAGCATCTAAAGAAATCACTTCACGAATGGACTGGTCATATTCCCCACAAGCCTTCCAGCTTGGGAATACCAGATGCAGAGACCCTCCGGTTCGATTGGTCCATGGTCAAACCTAGACATAGTAAGGGTTATCACGCTGACCTTACTAGGAACCCTTTCGCTCTTCGACCCCTATTTTGGGGGACTGGCTGAAACAAGCAACGCGTGTTGCTGTCCTGAGCCAAGTTTGTCCACGCTTCGAATATGACTGGGTTGGTTTCTGACCCAAACCGTCTAACTGTCTGCTCCCGCCATGGCTGCGACACCAGCAACTGGTTGCTAGTAGCGGAGAAACGCTCATTGTCGCCAAAAGTTACATGTTAAAGGTCAACCCAAGGAGCCAACTAAGTCAGTTGCCCGTAAAGCCAGCAATGCAGCACCATTTCACATGCTGTGCAGGCCTTGCCCCCTTTGATTCAAGCCCGGCTGGTGTTCCCCAAATGTCCTGCTCACAATGGCAAGAGGCCTCATGTTCATGCCCTTCCGATAACCCAGTCCATGCCCCCAAAAAATCAAGAACCCAGACGCTCCTGGGGCTTCCAATGCAAGACCCAGACCCTCCATTGGACAATTCAGAGGGGTGTTGGGGTCTCAAAACCTGGAGTCTCAAGAGCACCTCACTTTCATCCCCCACCTTCCTGCGCTTCTCCTGACCGAACTTTCTCCACCTCGGGAAGCTCGCGCCCAGTGCGCCGAACAGCCAGCCCATCCTTTTGGGAATGGAAAGAACCCTACCATCCCTACATTCCTCTGCAACCCATGCTTTCTGCTGGAAGTTGTCTCCCGCCTTCTGCTGAGAACCAGCCACACGTCCGTCTTTGCTTAAGTTGCAAATGATATTTTTGCCAATGCCAGTCCTAGGCACTTGATGTCCAGGCCAACGCCATGCATCTAACCAGAAACCAGCAAGCAAGCAGGCCAGGTCATTTCGCCATTCACCCCCACACCCCACACCCCACACACACACACACACACACACACACACACACACACACACACACACACACACACACACACACACACCACAGCCCACCCCCCCACACACACCCATACCCCACACACCCCACACCCCATCAGCCCCCACCCCCCCCCACGCGCACACCTTCCTCCACGTTCCTCATTTCGAGGCCCAGGCGATCTCGCACATCAAGGAGTAGAGGAACCGCTTTGGGTCCAGGTCCTGCTCCCCCAAAAGGGGAACATTTCGCCGAGTCTTCGAATTGGAGAAAAACCAAAATGGAAAACGGGGGGCGGAGAGGTCCTGGAGTGAGGGGAGCGAGTCGAGCGAGTGGAGTGAGAGGAGTGAGAGGAGTGAGTGGAGTGAGTGGAGTGTGGTACTTGCGGTCCTTCCATGCACTAGCTAACATCATTGTTGTGCCAATTTTTCAGTCCCTTCCCTGTCAGCCACGTAAATGGTCGGTCTTGTTTGCTGGCATGTATGTGTCGTGGTCAAGAGTGACTTGCCTTCTGCTGTAATCGCTGCCTGGATCCCGAAAGAAGGATGAGTGTCCTCTTGGTCCTTGTACACAAATGCATCACTCCCAGAGATGATAACAATCATGCCCCCCATTTTTAACAGAAAATCCCCACCTACTAGTCGGGTTATAACCCTCTTTTTCTCGGCAAAAAAAGAATCTCCCCGCGGTTGCCTTTGTGTGGCGTCTCGCCGCGGTTAGGCTACATTCGGAATGCCAGTCCCATTATGGAAGCCTTGTCCAGCAACCCTGTCCAGCAACCCAGCCACTTCCAATTGCAAACCCCCGAAAGGTTGCAGCCATTCTTGCCTGAGAATGACCTTACAGCCACCCCTTCCCCACCCCAACCACCCACCCCACCCTCCCCCACCCCAACCACCCCACCCCCCACCCCACCCCACCCCCCCCCCCCCCCCCCCCCCCGCCACCCCACCCTACACCCACCCGCGCCCCAACAACCACCCCTTCCCCAACCCCTTCCCCCTACCTTCCCCACCCCACCACCCCTTCCCCGTCCTGGGCGACCATCTCCTCCAACAGGTCCAAGGCTTGCAGCCACCCCCCGCCCCCCGCCAGGCTGCCGGCCATGGCGCCGTAGCACCGCCCATCCGGCGCCACCTGCGGACAGACGTCGGGGGCGGAGCTGAGCTTCGGTGCTCACTTGCCACCAAAGAGCCTGAGTGCAATGCGAGTGAGAGGTCACCGTGCTTGTTCGGTGCGACTTGCGACCAATGTTAAGCACAGGAGAGGTCACCGCGCATTGACAAAAGCCACAGGTAGCTGTGGCACGTAGCAAACTCAGCCGTCTACAAGGCCGTGTCCGAAGTGGCGAGTGAAACTGCAGGGAAGTGAGTCACAATCAAAACCCGGGATTGAAATGGTCTACCCTGAACCATGTAAAGATTTAAGAAGGCGGCCGCAACTACTTCTGGCTGAGATTGCTCCTTACTCACCTTCATCTACCCAGGTTTTGATTGTGGCTCACCTGGAAAATGGCAGACGGACCTTTTGGAACCCTCACAAATTGTAAACCTAAAGGTAACAAGGTCGGCTTTGGGCAACTGAGCTTGGGGGTTTTTCGGTTTCCCTGTCAAATGCTGCAAATGGGGTTCCCGAGGTCGAGAGAGACACATGTGGGTGCTTCCAAAGATGGGGAAACAGCATAGGGGATAGATCTGCGAAAGGTGTTTGCAAATCCTAAAATTTGCGGCTTACAAAAAAAAACCGCCAGAAGGGAAAAACAAACAAAAATACAAAGAGATGTTCTACAACGGCGCCCAAATTGCAACCAGTACCTGATGCTGTGTATGGATCCTGGCCTTGGCTTGTGTTGGTTTCGGACAGTTCTACGTTTCCTTGCATTCACCAAACACGCCATGCCCAACCAATCCTCCCCATCCTTGCTTCCGCCTCCCGTCTCACCACGCCAAACAATCCGGGGAGCAAAAAAAAAGAAGTTCCAAGACTCATCCACGGCCCATCTCAAACACGTGGGCCTGTCCATTGTTGGGGGAACCGGAACCCCTTTTTGTGGTTTAGTTGGAAACCAACAGCTGGCCTCATGATTTTATCATGATCAAAGTCACCCCCCTAAGTGGGTTACGGGCAAACACCGACATTTTTCGACTTTAACCCCCAGAAACCCGTCAAAAAATTATGACCCCACCAAACGGCTACCGAAAAACACATGTCCATTCTTTTGACCCCCTTTTTGCGGTTTAGTTTGAAACCAATCGGCTCCACCAAAAAAAGGGGGAAAAAAACGCGCCAGGCCGTCCTTCGGGCCGTCCCACAAAACGCGGCGGCCTCCATGGCGTCCCAGATCTGCACGGAGCGCTGCCACTGGGAGTTCCGGCCCAGGCTCCGCAGCACCGCCGCGTACTGCTCCGGCCCCACCCCCTCAGAAGGACGCGGAAGGAAGTGCCGGAGAAGTGGGAAGTGCCCTGCCTCAAACCATGGTGTCTTTGCAAAACAACTTGCAATCTGTAATTTACATGTGTATATATATATATATATATATATATATGTGTGTATATATATATATATATATACATATATGCAAACAGAGCTATTTTGGAAAAGCCGAAAATTCACTTCCATTGAAGTTAAAGGGAGTGTGGTGTGGCAAGTGCAGTGGAGTTATGTGAACGTGAAGTCCCGCCATGATCTGCGAGAAATAACTTCCACGATCAAGGAAGGCACCTCAAGCAACAAGGAAACCAAATCACTTCTCCATGGACGCGGAAATCAACGCAAATCTTGTTTGGGGCTACCAAGATGGACAAAAACTAATTAGTTTCAACTAGGCCGACATAGGGCCAAAAGACCCTTCAGGGATGGTGAGCAAAGCGCTTGCTAGTCTAAACAGCTTAGGAAATGGGTATTTATGTACATAGTATTGCCCCCACTCAACTTGTGAACGTCCCGAGAGATCGGGTAGAGCATGCATCTGCATTTGCCATCCAATTCAAAATACATTCAAAAGAAGTGTGGATGGTCTTCGGTCAGCTTACGTCTGTTATCATATAACCACTGTCTCTCGGTAAATGGACCGTCTTCCTAGACCAGGCATGGGCGGCCTTGGCGAAATGGCGACCCATTAAAATGGGCATGGGTGAGCCCGGAGCACGAGCCGTGAGCCAAAGAACGCCTCGCAACCAGGCGGGTCATCAAAACCACAGCCGACCTTCAGCCTTTTCATTGCGTGCCCATCATTTTCCTGTAGTTCCACTCCCTGCCAAACAAAAAAGAAACGCCCTGTCCACCTTAAACTCCCCCAGAATGGGCCCACAGCTCCGCTTTTTGGATTGGTGTCAGGGTTTTTTTTCGGACCAGCGCCACACTTCGCAGACTTCAGCTCCTTGTCCATGTCCAGGTCCCTCGATTTCGGCTTCGTTGGGGCCGGTGCCAAGTCCCGGCGCCGCATGCTCTGCAGCAGGTCCAGGGACCGCTGCCAGTCCCCCAAAGCACCCACCGCGGTGATGCCCTGGACGAAGCCTAAGCAGCCACATGCTGCGAGAGATGCGGGGAATGGGACATGGAGTCTGACCCGAAAAACAGTTCATCCAGCTGGTACCCTTCATTCCCACATTCCCGAACACTTCATTCCCACATTCCCGACTTCTCGCACCAGCAAGACAAGGGATTCAAGCAAACATGTTCCTGTCTCACAAGGAGGCAGCAGAGAGGGCAGGGGAGCTTCTCGTAAGATAATCTTGCCTAAAGGGCGGGGTTCCTTCAAATGGCTTGCCTTTTGGCTTGCAGGGTTGCCTGGGGTCCAACACAGCCAGACCCTTTTGCTCCCGTAGTCCGTACAGTCCGTACACCAATTCTGAATCCTCCCTTTCATTCCGCCTAAGCTGGTGCATTCCTGGTGACAGGCACTCCCGTAGCGGTGCTCGTCAGACAGATCCCTCACCCCAAACTTCCCCTCGTCAGAGTCCAAACTTCTCTCGGCCCGTGGCCCTTTCGGTCTCTAACAGAGTGCACCCCCAAACACACCCCACAACTTTTGCCTCTTCCTGCCCATTTCCCCCACCCAACTCGTTTCTTTCTTCCCATTCAGTGAGAAACCCTGCCTCCACACGCCCTCGCTTCAGCCTCCGATGACAACAGCTATGATCTCTACTTTTGATTCTGGCCCCCTTGCTTCCACAATGTCGCAGTCAACACAAAGTTTGATGGGTCACGTTGTCAAAATCACATGTCTTGCGGCACTTACCATGTGGGTTTGTCTTCAAATGAAGGAACCCCCGCGACACATGGTTCTCCTGTTGGTTCCCTTTAAACCAAGCTCAAAACAACCCCCCCCCCAACCTCCCCCCCAACCTGCCCCCCGATCCGAAACCAACGAAACCGACCAAACCAACGAGCCGCTGTCGGCATCGGGCGCCAGCTGCCAAGTCTTCAGCTCCTCAAAGACCTGGGAAACGTGTGACCCCCCACCGAACGCGCGAGGCTGTGACGTGCCCCAAGCTCCAAACAGAAGCGACCGGGGCACAGGGGGGGGGGTCTTTTTGCCACCTTTTCTGGTAAATTGCTGGACCTCGTAGTGAAGGATTCCTTTTAAAATGGGCGCCAATTTTCTGACAAAAGGCGGCAAAAAGGCCGTGGTCGTACCCGGGAGCAACCGGGGCAAAAACGACTCACAGTGTATGAAAGGTGCCAAAGCTCAAAACAGTCTTTCAACCGCAAGGGCATAAGACATACCCGTGCGTGCCCGGTACTGACACACATGTGAGGTTCAAAATGTGGGCGCCTTGTCAAGCTGTTTTTCTACAAAGTCTCTTTTTCCGCCAGGTTTGCCAGTAAGCTGCAACCTTGGAAGGCGCCGTTTCCAATCTCAGCAACAGAGTCGGGGATGATCACGTTTGCCAATGCGCTGCAATCTTGGAAGGCATATTGTCCAATGTTAGTAACAGAGTCGGAGATGGTGACTTCTGCCAATGAGCTGCAATCTTGGAAGGTATAGTCTCCAATCGTAGTAACAGAGTTGGGAATGGTCACGCTTGCCAAAGAGCTGCAGGCTGCGAAGGCACCATGTCCAATCTTAGTAACAGAGTCGGGGATGGCCACGTTTGCCAATGAGCTGCAACCGCGGAAGGCACTTGCTCCAATCTCAGTTACAGAGCCGGGGATGGTCACGGTTGCCAAAGAACTGCATTCTGCGAAGGCACCATGTCCAATCTTAGTAACAGAGTCGGGGATGGCCACGTTTGCCAATGAGCTGCATCCGCAGAAGGCACTTATTCCAATCTCAGTAACAGAGTTGGAGATGGTTACGCTTGCCAATGAGCTGCAACCGTGAAAGGCAGAATCCCAAATTTGAGTCACGCGTCCTGGAATTTCCACCACCCGCAAATCTGTCAGCTCGCAGCCGGAAAATGCCAAACTTGGGCACGTCACCGGCTTGATTGTAAAGAAAGCCACAGCTTCCGCACCGGGAATGGCCTTCAACACCCTCTGCCCGTTGTTCACCAAGGGCGTGTCTCCAACAATCAGCTCTACCGAGCTCATGCTGCGCTTTGATTCATCTTCGCAGGGCAGCCAAGCGTGAAGGGCGCTTTTGAACTCACGGACAGTCATGTGCGGGAGCGCTTCGAATACACCTTCCTCCCCAGACAGCTGTCGGACCGTAATCTTTCTTGACATGGCATGTCCCATGACTGCGCCCATTGCGAGGGCTGACTGCACTTCACTCTGATCTTTGGCTCAAAGAGCCGAAAGCTGCCCAGAGAAGCCGAAAGGGCATGTTTTTTTATCCCAAGGCAAAAATGCAAATCTGTGGGTCAAAAGCAGAGTAACCCCAAAATGGCACCCTGGTAAATGGAAACAATGACTAAAACCTGTAGTCCCCTGGTAGCTTAATTTTGACTCATACCAAAATAAATACCACTAGCTTACCTGCATGAAACTGCAAACAGCCGTTGGTGGCCAAGCAGGAATGTTGCTTGGATTGAATGCAAGTGCGAACCAATGGGATGCCAAGAAATTGCTTTGGGTGACCACCCTACCCCAACCAAGCATGAAAGCACCTCCACCCTGTCCACATGGAAGATACCCTGTTTTCGACCCGTAGCCGTCATAGTCATCAGGACGGGCAACAACAAAGTAGCCCAAATGGCAATGGGCGCAAAAAGGGCAGCCAACCAACCAAGCTAGTTCATCCCAGTTGAACCCATAAACCAACCCAATCCATCCAACTCAAGCAAACCAACTACAAGAAGTCAACATCACCTTGCCAAAAGAAGATACCTTGAGATGGCACCTGTTGCTGAAACCACCCATGAGGGGGAAAAAGAAGCACCCTGACACTCTTTACAGTGAAACACAGATTGGGGGAGGATCCCTTTGTGTGCTCTTCGATTTTGAGAGGCCTCGTGATTCTTACCCTCCACTGTGAAAGAACCTCCGAAAGGCTACCCTCACAAGCCGCACCTCATCAAAAGTGCCGTCACCGGTCCATGGGATACTAACCTCCTACCTGATGATGGACTCCGTCGGGTCATGGTCATGAGTTCCTCAATGACCCTGCCAGATGGCCATCCTTATCCGTGATTGACCTTGCATGCAAACCTGACTTGCCCAAAAGACCAAACCAGGAGAAACAAGGTCAGCATGTTTGGACAAAGTCAAGAGCTTGATTTTTTGTGTGACACATGTGTTGCGGACCCCAGTTTGCATGGTACAAAATTGATTTACGCAGTGAAGTCGATGAAAACACGAGGCTTGGCCTTCCAAACACGGGAAAAAAGGGTAGCCACGTGTAGTCCCTTTCGGGGTGCACCCCGCCTGCAAAGCCAAGTTTGGCTCCGGTTGGAGCACTGCCATGGCGTGGTTGTGGGACGCCACCTGGCGGGTCCCGGGCAAACAAGGACCGGGGAGCCGGCAACTGACGGGTGGTGCGCGTGTGGTTGTTGGGTTTTGCATCGTGGCCGGAAGAGCCAACAAATCCAGTTGTTTCTGGATAAGGCATGTTGCATACTTGGGAGTGAACGGGGGAAATTGGGGGAGGCCAAGTCGCCTCATGTCCTGCCCAAGTCAACTGAAAACAAGTGAACCAACCACGTCCAGCCACAAACCATGACCATGGCATGGCTAATTCGAGGAAAGTTCTGGGGTTCCCTTGTTCCCCTACTTGCAATATCTCCCCTACCACCAAGTGACAAGGAACCTGACCAAAAATGCCTGGAAGACCAGGGTCCTCTTCAACGCACCATCTGGTGAGCCTCCATTTTTTATGGATCCAAAGCATGGGCTGACTCGGCCAAACGACAGGCTTCCAAACGACAGGCTTCGACCCTCGCGTCCCACCCGCCCGCTCTCAAAAACTCTCCGACTCTCCGGGCCGTCAGCTTCGGATCCCGCAGCGTCTGCCAGAGCTGCAGCGCCCACTCCCAGGACCCGCAACGCAGGGCCTGGGGCGTGGCGTTGCGCACCAGGGCGGCTGGGCTTTTGGCCACTTTTGCCGGCCAGGCGGTTTTTTTTGCATGGAGCAGTGGATTCGGTTTAAAGGAGTCCCTAAATGCAGCTGACTCCGCACCCGGAACAAGGGAAACCTCGCGACAACTCACCATGACTTCTTGTTGGGCTACTTGCAATGAGGTGTCCAACCGTAGTGCCCCGTTTGCGAGGAGCTCGACCGACCCTTTGCGGAGGCCTCGCCCACCGTGTCGTCGTTCGGCAGGACCTGTCCGTTCCAAGATTGACCTCCATTCTGCCCCGCAAACAGACGCTTGAAGCTTGACGTTTCACAGGGAACCTTTTGGTGGCCATCCTCTTCCCGGCCGAAACTCATAGCAACAGGGCATGAAGCTGGCTCCATGCAGTACCTGCCAGATTTGCCTCCAAACCGGGGTTGGAAAAAAACACAAGCTCACGGGGCCATGTCACGTTTCTCAACCCAAGCACGGCAGCACGGCAGCTCGATTCGCTCGATTCACCGCCTGGTCCTGGCGCATGAACTTCAAGAGCAGCTCGGCCATTTGACTTCGCCTGGGCCCGGTCCAGTCGGAGCACCTGTTCCAACAAGGACCAGGCTGGTGACACCAACTGCTCCAAAACGAATTTCAAAAAGAAATGAGGCCTCTGTGAACATCAAGCCCCCTTTGGGCCTTGATCGCAGCCAAAATTCGCCGGAGTGGCCGAAGCTTCCTGCACGCAGCCAAGGCGGCATTGTAGTGCGCCGCCAACGGAGTCACCTGGCTTGTCCGAAAAGAAGTGGTCCCTGGGCCACACGGCAAAACATTAATCTTCTGGTCAAATTGGAAAATGAGAGAAACCAGGACGAAAGGTTGTAAATGCGAGCATCAAGGCAATGTTCCAATGGTGGACTTAGCCTTTCGTAGATGTACATGTATTGGTCCGATTGCCCGAAGAAGAAAAAAACACCTTTGACCATTTTGTTGGCTCTTTGAGACCCTTTGACAATTTGAGTTCCAAGGGGCTTTTTCACGACTTCTCTGCTCTTTCTGAGGCTTCCCTTTTCCATGTCAATCGACAAAGGAGCCGGGGATGCCTCGTTGCATCGCATGACCTGCAGCGTCTGCGTCGCTGTCCGGGCCTGGCTGTGCATCCTTGGCTCAAGGCAGGCATGCCAAAATTGGTGCGCGCCCCCCACCCGGCCCTCGTGTTCTGGTTGGATGTACCTCAGTGTAGCTGTTAAACCAACAAAGGGGTGGTCACAACTTCTGGGAGTGTGGTGAAAACATCAGAACTGGGAGTGTGCGAAAAGAAACAAACAAAAACATGTTGAAACAGATTCCCTCTTGAAACAGCCTGGTCGAAATCAAAACTGCTTCCCTCGCGACGCATCCTGCTTTGAACATGTTAGGACTACTCAACTTTTGAACACTCCTCCTTCAAACATGAGCAACTGACCTGTTGAACGTATGCCCGGGAAACGTGTTGACAGCCCTCAACTCCGCACAAATCCTTCCTTAGACATGCGTCAACCCCAACCAGTAGAATCCGCTTCCTCCAGGCGTTCCTTCAAAACTGCCCTTCCGCGGGCAAGGTTTCGGCCCACCCCCTGACCCTCGAGCGCAGCAGCCTCAAGCCAACATCGCCCAGATCCGCGGTTGGCCCAGTAGGAAAGACCCACGCACCGCTTCTGTGGTACTGTGGATGGTTGCAAATCTGCTTAGGCACCACCTAAGAAACCCTGATTTCTGTTGATTCCCCTGTAAATACCAATAAACAATGGTGTCTCATGGTTGCTTGGGTGGTGCAGGTGTTCGTCCATCCACGGTATCATTGTTGTTAAGAGGCCCACTCCCTGCTTCCAGCAGCGCTCAGGTGAGCTCGAGACGGCATCTGGTCCATAGTGCTGAAGGCCAATCTCACAAGTTCCCATGTGATCACACAAAAATGTCCTGTCTCAGGCAGAGTATATTATTTGGACCCCATTTCGGACCTTGATTTTCCTTACGGGAAACGGTCCAAAGGCAAAACCCTTGGCCCGAGTGACCCCATCTGCCCTTCGCTCCAGGCGTCGCCAGGGTCTTTAGAACGTGGGCCGCCAAGTCCGGGTTCCACTTCCATTCCTGCCAGAGGCCTCCCTTAGCCATGGGTCTGCCACTCAGGTTTCTGTATTCCGTGGGACTCCACCAGGAAAATTCCAACCCGACGTGGTGATGTTTTTTCAGATCAAGTCTCCACGTGTATAATCCCAGTGTGCAATGCAAAAACCCTTAGTGTGACCTGTCATGGCCAAGGGCACCTAAATGATTATCACCCCCCCCCCCCCCCCGCGGACCAGTTTCGGAGACATTCTAGCAATGACCGAGAATAGTGAAATCCCAACATGTTGTGCACCAGACTTCCTGGAAAGTCGATTGGCCTGCGTTGAGGTCAAACAGCCACCCATGTTCGATTGCACCTTTGAGCCCTGGCAGGCAAGCTTGCCGCACATTGGGGCAGCACATACGTGCTTCTTGAAGAGCGCTTTTTCTTTTTTTTTCCGGACTTTGTTGCCGGAAATGAGACTATCGAATCTTGGGGCCATGACTGAAGATGGGCTTGTCTCATGGGGAAACTCAAACAAAATGGATGACGTCCCTTTGTTTTTCCTTTCGAACCTACCCCCAAAAGGCTCAACAAAAGACACACCCAAACGGACCAAAATCGAGGGGTTGAAAGGTCACATCGATCGTGGCCAAGTCCTGCCCTCCCGAACATGCTTTCCACGCAAGTTGTAAATGCTGCAAACAACGACAGCTTTTGCATGTGGTCCGGCAGCTGAGTAACCCTGTAAGCGACCGGTGTAATTTAACATGTTGGCCGAGAAGGCTATGCATCCGGCCGATTCCTAGCTTGACACATTCCCAACCAAAGTTTCACTTGTTACAGTAGCATAGATGAAATTTAACCCAACCATGTGGGTATGGATGAAAAACTAAACCACCAGGGGACAAATGTTTATCCCACGTTTCCTTTTAGCCGGGTTCCATTTTGTACCTATTTTTGACCCACAGTCATGTGAGTCAAAATCAAAATTCGGTACAAAAATGGTGAGCCCAGAACCATGTAAAGAATTCAGAAAGCAGCCGCAGCTATTTCTGGCTGGGACAGTCCCTTACTAACCTTCATCTACCCGGGTTTTGAGTACGTGGCTCATGTGGTTTTGGCTTCGGTCAGTCTTTGACGCCCCGGCCTTCAGCTGGGGCTCCACCAGGAGCCGCACAGACCGGAAGGGCGCGCGCGGGTCTCGGACGGCGGGGTTTCCCCGTGGTCAGCTTAAACCGACCGCATCCAACCGCAAAACAGAGGGATCCTTGTAAACCGAACGTCATCTGCAAGGGCTTTCTACAAACACATACCACAAAATCTCCGGCGACATACAAACTACAGAGTTTCCCTTGCATCCACTCAGTCAGGGGGGAGTGGTAAGTTAGCTCGAGGACCTGGCATTTGTTGCCCGTGGATTTCCTCCTCTGGCGTCCCCCATGGTTGGGTCCAACTTGGCCGTACCCGGCTTCAGCCTCCGACCAAAGGCGCTTTCCCTCCCACCAACTAACATGGAACTGCAAAAAGGCCCTTTCCAAGAAGAAAGTAGTCTTTCTACAGGGGTCTGTGCACTTCCATGTTAGCCGGTGGGAGGGTAAGCTTTCTGATCTGCTCCTCTGCGTTTGACGGTTCTGGGCCCCAAACGCAGCTGCAGAAGGCCCGCAGCGTCCGCGCGGATGGGCAGCTTCCTTACGCCAAGACTGGGTGTCTGAGGCTGAGACTTGGAAAAAGTTCGAAGTCTTTGGCCCTAGGGAACCAAAAGCTTGCGGTGAGTGCTAATAGGGGAACCCCAAACGATGGGCTTTGACTTTCCCTCAGGTGGTTAACACGGGCTTACAGGGTGCCAGTGGTGTGAAGCACGGCGAAATCTAGCTCAATGAACTCAGCCACATTCTCATCGGGGGCGGTCATGAATTTGTGCAAGGTCCCGGTTGTGAGAAACCCAAGATGGGTTCCCAAAAAGACGCACAGTCGATGGAACAACCCCAAGAAGAGCACCCTTCTTCGGAAACAGGTTGGGTTTGATCGACATGACGGGGGAGCAAAGCAATTGGCTTACCTCGGTATTCGCAACCCATCCCAAGCAAGTTTCGCAGTGGTCATGGCGCAAATTGGAATGATTGACGAGTGCTTGGGGAGCTCGGGGCAAAAGGCCCGACCTACCACTATGCAATTCCCAACAAATATGCGAACCTCCCCGCCGCCCCCGTTATCCTGAGGCCGAAATTAACGGGTTTACGCCACACCCTCCTCTGCAGCTTCGTCTGCACCTTCTGCCGCTCCGGGCCCGTCTGGCCTGGCGACATGCTCACCCCTGACGTGTGTCAACGACTCTCGCGAGAGTTGGTCTAAAAGCTCTTAAGCGTGGTTCTTGCTTAAACGCCTGGTATAATCCCATGACAAGCGCGGAGCGGTGATCTTGGAGATGTCTTCTTTCTGGGCAGTTCATAGCCAAATTCGACCCTGAGAATGGAACCCTCCTGGTCGAGGTCGCAACATTCTGGAGGGCTAGGCCGCCATGTGTCCCACTTGTTTCTACGTGGCAGTAACCTGGCAACATTACTATCCAAGCAAGGTCCCTGATTCCAGGAAACACCCAGTAGGACTTAGGACTGCGGGAACAATTGCCTCAAGATGACCGGGTTGAGATAGAATGTGTCTTTGCGTTTGTCACGAAGTATTCGGACTTTGGGAACACATCGTCCGGCATGGACTTAGAGCTCGAAGGACTCGAGCCTCCGACCTCCGCGCCCCGAAGTATTCGCGGTCCTCAAAGACTTCTCGCTCAAATTACTGTGAGAACCTCATCGAGGGTCCATCATCCTGAGTTGTTGCATGGCTACTGTAACATCTTACAAGCGAAGTCATTTTGACAGCCTGCAAATGAACCAATGCTCCAATGCTTTGCAACATGCCCAGTATCCGTAGCGTCTCACCAAACCTTTAAGATGCTTCACTGCTTCAATGACCCACAGTGTCCCAGGCCTCGGCCCCAGCGCGCCCCAGTCGGCCAGGCCATGGCGGCGGCCAAAACGGCCACCAAAGCGATCGGCTTGGGTCTCAGTACGCTTCAAGCGATTGGGACGGGATCCGTTTCTTCAGCTGTGTATCGGCCTGCCGGTGGCCTTCCAATTGATGTCAATGGTTCCAATTGACGACCAGCCTGCCAAGGTTGTACGACTGCGATCCTTCACCCCGGCCAAGTTCTTCGTCACTTGTGACAGGGAGCAAAAATAGAGAACATCGAACTTGAATCTCAGAACGCACACCTGCGCTAAGACTGGGATTTCGTTGGATTTGCCGAGGCTGTATACGCTGACTTCATTGCCTCCGGTCAGCTAGAGGCTACAGGCAAGTCCAGAGGTGGTTTTCACAGAGCAGATTCCGGAAAGTGCCTTTTGCACTATGCACGACCCAACATGCCCACATCACTCCACCAAAATGCAACTAATTCCTCCCAACCTGCTTGATATTCAAGGCATCCACCCTATATAGGCTGCAAAGCAGGCGCACTTTTGCCCGCTCACAGCCAGCAGGCGAATAGCCTCGACGGCCTGGCAAAAGGCTTCATCTGTGCTGGGGGATACGTGTTCGAAGATCGAAGGACATCTCGACTCTGAAAGAAACGGGAGGCCCGATAGTTATGGGGAAGGAAGAGTAAGCGCTACCGAGTACATCAGTGTACAAGCAAGCAAGCAAGCAAGCAAGCAAGCAAGCAAGCAAGCAAGCAAGCAAGCAAGCAAGCAAGCAAGCAAGCAAGCAAGCAAGCAAGCAAGCAAGCAGGCAGGCAGGCAGGCAGCAGGCAAGCAGGCAAGCAGGCAAGCAGGCAAGCAGGCAAGCAGGCAAGCAGGCAAGCAGGCAAGCAGGCAAGCAGGCAAGCAGGCAAGCAGGCAAGCAGGCAAGCAGGCAAGCAGGCAAGCAGGTAAGTAGGTACGCAAGTAAGCAGGCAAGCACGCACGCAGGCCAGGCAAGGCCAGGCAAGGCAAGGCAAGGCAAGGCAAGGCAAAGCAAAGCAAGGCAAAGCAAAGCAAAGCAAAGCAAAGCGAGCAAAGCAAAGCGAGCACAGCAAAGCGAGCAAGCGAGCAAGCAAAACAATTCAAGCAAGCAAGCAAGCACGCGAGCAAAACAAACAAACAAACAAACAAACAAACAAACAAACAAACAAACAAACAAACAAACAAGCACTCGCAAGCCGCGAAGCAAGCAGCTACACCAAGCCACCAACGGTCACCAACATAGAGTCTGAAAAACATGGTCTGCCAGGATGGCCAGCTCAAGTTGTCTGATACTTGGTAGCAGGTGAGGGCAAGGCTTCACATCTTCAAGCTACCTTAGTAGCGCCGGTCTGATGTGACTCATCAATTGAATCATCTTTTGTGTTCCATCTGCCATAGTTGCACAACGATAATCTTTGAGCAACTACCTCGGTGAGGGGACAAAAAACATTGCAGCCCTGAAATAGGAAACCGAAATCTATGAAACTAGGCAAACCTAGCACAGTTGCACAAAGAATATTGAAACTCGATCTGCCCAAAACCAACACAATTAGAACCGTCTCCGGCAAATTACGACCTTTGCAACAGTTCACTCAAAAGGGTACGTGCTAAAGCAGGCAGGGCTCGCAAATGGCAGCTTTCCTTTTGGTTTGCCTTGAACCCCAGGTGGCTGTGGGTCAAAAATTAGGGTAACCCCAAAATGGCTTGCCCTGGTAAATGGAAACGTGGACGATTCAACCTGCGGTCCAATTCCTGGGGGTTTAATTTTGACCCACAGCCATGGCAGCTCCCAAACCCCTTTAAAAGGCTTGGTTCCATTTACAGAGGTTTTTTGGGAGCTTCCATGTTAGGTACCAAGGGCGGCGAAGCCCTCCCTTCGCGATTCGCGCCTGTTGCATCTCCCAAAGCAGCTGCGCCCCTTGGGGCCGCACGCCGCAGGCCGAGGCGGCCGCCTGACGCGGTCCCAGTCGGCGAATCCGAAGCTCCACGAAACGCGGGGCCAGCCATGCCATGTTTGGCTGACCAGTTTCATTTAGGACTCCAAGAAAAAGAAAGAAAACCACTGAGAAGGGGCCTTAAGGTATTCCAAAAGGACATTTCTGGAACGATGCAGTGGGTGAATTTCCGAGCCCTCCTTTTGTCGAACCGGCGAAGTTTGTTCGTCTCTTCGCACGCTCGCGCACCAGGTCACCATCTAACGCTACCCGGCCTGGTACGTGATCACATTGGCCTCCACGCCACGGCGATCTAGTCCTGGACACCAAGGCAATGGGTAACACCTCACGATACGGTGACTAAGCAAAACCTCTGATTTGGATTGTGAATCTGGGAAACATGGGTGTCCCTGAACAGCAGTCTCAAAAGCCGGCCTCAATCTGGCAGAATAAGCCACACATGTCAAGCCTCTACTGGAAGCAATGGATATTTGTACCCAGACAAAAACGAGTACCTGCCCCACATTGCACCGTCAAGACGCCACCCAGGCTTTGTCTATGTGGCCGTGGGTCAAAATCCCGTACCGCAAGTGAACATCCCAATCCCCACTAAAATAGGTTCTAAAATGGGTGGTGCACCTACCAACCAAAATGGGATCCCATTGGCTTTGACCCACAGCCATGTGAGCGGTATGGTGCCCTGAACGGTGTCCTGCAAGCAACAGGATCGCCTCCTGCCACCGCGCGCACTTGCTGCAGGCGCTTATCACCGCGGTGTAGGAGACGATGCTGCCCGTCAGCCCCTCGGCTGGGCGTGTTTCCCAAACGGGTTCTCTCTTGAGATTTCGAGCAACCCAGACAGGGAGAATGGGGTCAAATGCGTGGTCTTTCTGGATTTCCCTAGCGCCTTTCAAGGGCGCCCGCAACAAAAGACACAGCCTCACAAACCCCAGCCCGTTGGAAGGAGACTGATAGCGGCCCAAAGCAAGCGAGGTGGCATTGCTGGAAGCAGGAACAGGGTCAAATATACCGTCCAGGAAAACCAGCAAAGATCATGGCTCGCGCAGAAATCCCTCACCCTAGTGACCTAGTGATACTTGCATTCGTGTTTGGAAAGCACCAAATACAGGGACATCAGCATTGTCCTATTTCGTTCTCGGCCTCACCCCGTCCACGTAGGCATGTGCCCAAAAAAGAGCGGGTGCCAACACGCGGATCGATGGCACTGCCATCCGGCCGGCCAAAACTCCGGAGGACAGCGTCCATTCACCGCAAATCACACCCAATGTCTTCAAAGAGACGTATTTCATGGGCAACTGGCACTGGAATTCATCTGCTGCACTTGTGGCTTTCTCTCATAAGAGGTTGAGCATAACTCCGATTTGGCAGACCCATCAAGATAAACATCCTTCTTTGAGAGTGGCATTTTGGGAGTTTGTTTAAAAGACAAGATACACACACAGGCAAACACACACACACACACACACACACACACACACACACACACACACACACACACACACACACACACACACACACACGCACATGTTGGATGTTCATTCTTCAGGCACTGCATTTGTGACATCGAAGGGGAGACTTTTCCACCTCGAAAAGGAAAGGAAAGGGGGAAAACAAACGTGGAACCTGGACAAACCAGGTTCTACCCCCCCCGCCCCCACCCCTGATCGCTGTTATGTTGCTCTGCTGGTTCTATGCATGGGTGTCCTATTGATGGCCCTGGTAGATGAATAAACCACCAGTAAACCAGGGCCATCTATTTTTCTACCAAAACTGCCAAAAAGGACACGTACGGTTCTATGTTTGCCACTTCAGTTCCGGCCTCCTCAGTCAGCTGCTGCAACAAGGCCAGCGCCAGCTCCCATTTGGCCCCCGCCTCGCATGCAGTGATCACCTCGGGATGTCGAAAAAAGGGCGTGTTTGCCTATTACAAACCCCTAGCACGGAACCACCCTCCCCCATCTGTGCCATTGCCGCGAATTGCTCCCACCAAACCGCTGCCCTTTTGGCAGCTTGCCGCAAACAGGGCATACTACCATTCATGGCTTGCACCGAGCAGCCATGTTGAAGGTGGCCACTGTGGCTTGCAGAGCCCTGCGAGCAGCATTGCTTCTGGCACATGAACCTTTACTCCACCACGCCCCCACACCCCCCACATCATCTCACGTGATTGCGGCTTTGGCTGCGTCTCTCCGCATCCCTCCTTGTGGAGACAGGTGCACTCGCATCATTGGCATCATCCTGGTCTTGCTCATCACCCCCTCTGGTCTCCATCGCCAGCATTGCCAGCATCACTTGCATCACCTACATCATATTCAACTCAGGAAATATGTTCAGCATCTGCATCAGCTGCATCACCTGCATAACTGCGTGCACAAAGCATTTTGCTTGGTGCTGCATTTGCATTTGTTTTGCCGTGCTGAAAAGCACGTGGTGCCAGCTCAGCTGGCTGCATTGCCCACAACATCGCGCATCACCATCATCTGCATCATCAGCATCATCAGCATCATTAGCATCATGAGCATCACGAACATCACAAGCATCACGAGCATCACGAGCATCACAAGCATCACAAGCATCATCAGTGTGGCCAACATCATCAGCAATGCTGGCATGGCCAACATCATCACCTTCATCAGCACCTTATGCATCATCTTCGATCTGATGCCTTGATGAAGATGCTCATTTGATCTCCAGCAAACTCGGACCTCGCATTTCTCACCCATATCACCAACCCGTCAATGCGAGCAAACAACAGGACAGGCAGCATGGTGTGATGGTATCCTGATAGTGCAACCTGCAAAGGTCGCTCAGTTGATCCAAATGGTGCTGCTCATGCTGCTAATGTTGCAGTCAAGGGGGATCAGGTACAGATGACACTGGTACCTCAGCTCTCAGCAGCTTGGGGCGTTTCTTCCAAAAGGATGCAACCAACTCATCAAAGGGCACCAACCCCCTTGGAGCCCTTTTGATGCACCCTCTAACAGGGATCCTCACATTATACACTTGAACATTGCCTTGTAAATGGTGGTTTCCCTTTGTATTGGTGGACAAAGACATGTTTCAAATGGGCAAACTGCAGCCTGTAACCAGCCCTGTTTATACATTCTCGGGTGGACCCCAAAAGCCGCCCACATGGCCAGGGCCTGCCGCGGAACTCCTGCCACAGCTGCAGTGCCCGGCGCCACGCGCCGCTGCCTTCAGCTGCTTTTGCCGCTCAGATAAATGAGAGATGGCTATGGCTCAAAAAACCGGAATTCCAAAATGGAACCCTGGTATGCGGAAACTCAGGCACCAACTCAGGCACCAACCAATATGGCTGTGGGTCAAAAACCCAAAATGGAACCCTGGTATGTGGAATGGACCAAAACCTGCGTAACCCGCTCTTTCAATTTTGAGCCGCTGCCAGATGACGGCAGGAATGCGCCAGACAACGCGCGGATGATTGCAAGCCTGCAAAGCCAAAGCTGCCACTTGGACAAGAGACAACAGCGCCACAGATGGCGGGAAATTGCCAGGCACGTGCCGAAAAAAGATTCCGTCAACCCCAAAAAGGGGTCAAACCCTCGCTTGAATCCATTGGTCACCCAGAATCTTTGCCCAATTGGATCCCATTCACATTGAACCCTACGCTATCCAAACGCCAATCGCCAGTCCCAAGAAAAGGAAGCGCCGTGCGCTTGCTGAAAATCCCTCCGACCGGGCGCAGGCCGCCAGGACGGCATCGTAGGAGATGCGATCCCGGTGTGGCTGCTGGAACACCAGCGAAAGGCACTGCACCCTCGGCAGGCGAGTCATAGAGGCCAGACAAATCATGGACCCATGACCCAGTCCCCAGGTGCTTCTATGACCCGCGACATGTTTGTTTACCTAGAGGTAGAGTAAGATCACGGATTTGGGCCAACTCCCCTTTCTTCCAGATGTCTCACCCGAAATCAGGATGGAGCTGGGATCGGGTCCGAGCAAAACGCAAATCATGCTCACACCACCTTGGCATTTACGCCCCTCAAGCACGACTTGTCACCTCCTCGATAGGCCCCTTGGGCGCCTGGCCATTTCTGTCGCCGCTCGCAGGCTGCGGACACCGCATTCGCCGAGATCCTGGGCAGTCAAAAGCCCTCAACGCGAGATCTGACCGTGGCTCTTCTGGGTTGTTGGAAAATCGGGGCATCCTTCCAATCCCAGTGGGAGGAAGGACTGCATTCTAAAAAACAAAGAGTCTATGGTCCAAGGTCTGCCCCCAACTTCGTGAAGAAAGCTCAGAAGGCTTGAAGGGGGCCCTTTTGCGAGGGGGCTTTTTATCAGGGAGTTGCTAAAGCTGAGGTGGCTGCGGTTCAGGCAGAAAGGGTTTTACAGGTGCACCTGACGATTCACAACGAAAGGCCTTGAGGTCTATCCGATTTCCAAAGGACCTGTTTTTGCGTCAAAGGTCCCACTAATGGAGGGGCTGGCCATTATCACGAGAATTTCCGGCCAAGAACCACAAAACCCTGGTAAGTTGCGGTAAATCCTGTGTACACTCTTTGAGGCTAACATGGAAGCTCCCAAAAGGCTGGTGTAAAGGGAACCAAGTGTTCTACAGGGGTCCAGGGAGATTCCATGTACTTGCTTTCTAAGTTTAGGACATCCACCGAATCCTCACACCAAGCCGGGCACCCGCACAAGCTCTGCCGCAGCCCAGCCCCGATGAGGTCTTTGGACAGCGACAAGGCCTCGCAGGAATGAGTGCCTGAAGACTTCCATGCGAAACACACAGGGGGAACTTGAAAACTCCAACCCCGGTTTCTTGCTGAGTGAGAGGCGTCCCATGTGGCCACATTGGAAGCCCTAAACTGTCCTATCTTTTGGCTCCACGCTTCATCGCGCTTACGGTGAACCCGAATTCCCAATTGAGAAAGCCCCAAAGAGGCTAAGCATGTCATGGACTTTAGGCTTGAAGATGGTAAATATGGTAACGACTTCTTCTCCGCGCCCACGTATCCCTGCGATAATCTCGGTCTTGAATGCCACGGTCTTGTGCAACATGGAGCACTATTGTACATATACATATATGTGTATACATGTACATGGTTGTTAAAGACTGGTTCTCTATCGTCGATCTTACGTACAGTATGTGAAAACTCACAGAGCAACATAAAGTTCTGACCCAATCTGGTGTCTGATCATGCTACCGCTGCGCTATCACAGGTACCTGCAGCACGCCACGGTTACATTGCTTTGTTCCCCAATCCAACACACGTCCCGTGACAAGGAATCGCCCAATAGGTCCCACCAATGCACCCAGCTTGAAGTCTCCCAAGTTTGCCCTGACAAAAAGTCATGAGCTCTCGCCCAAAAGCCTAATGACGAGAGGTCTCTTCCAAACTCGCAAGGGCTGGCCTCCTAACCGCACGCAATCGGACACCCATCCAAAAACTACCCCTGGACCCCTCATCCATTCCGAGATGGCACCCCAGCCTGGGCCCATTGCTGGCCCTTACCACAGGCGCTGATGCTTGCGCCGTAAGTGACTTCCTGGGCGAGCGGTGGCAAAATGCACTCCCTCTGGTCTACTAACATGGAACCTGACTGAAGGGTCCTGGAAGACCATGTTCCTTTAAAAGGGACCCAGAATAAGTCAACACTTTCAGGCGCGCTCTTTCACGAGAATGAATGTAAGCCATATCACTTTAAAGGCTACCTTTTCAAATGCCCATGTTCAACAAACCAGAAGACACATTCATTGAAACAGCCACTCTGGCACCTGAGGTGTTCTTTGCGCAGTCGCTGGGTCCCCGGGCGTTGGGCTGGAGGCTTCCGCGGAGCGCGCCCAGCACCTCGGCGCAGCGGCGCCAGCGGCCCAGGCGCTCCAAGGCGCCCACGGCCGTGCCAAAGGTCACCACCTGGCGCGTCGGCTCGTGGGGGATGGGGGGGGCTTGAGGTGGATGAGCTTTCTGGGGTACGGAAAATACGGTTGCCGGGTAGTTGGTGGTTCATGGGATGTTGGTGGCTAAGAAGCTGGTTTTGCATGGTAGTGTAAGACTTTGTCTAAAACTGGAGATGCAAAGGCTGTGCCCGGCTTTTGTTTTCAATGGGGTGTTCTAGTTGCATAGACTTCGATGGGTTTTGGTAGGAGTGTGTGTGTGTGTGTGATCATATGGGCTGATGTCGTTCATTTCAGGAACTGAATTGGTGCTCAACATGGGCTTGCAAGAATTTGCACAGGTACAAGGTCACCCTAATGGAGATGGCTGACTTTCACCGCCAGGAAACAACCAAAACAGCTAGCCTCACGCTCACAGCCAACTCCTTATTGAAAAAAGGAAGTGGTCCTGTCAGCTTCCGGCTCTGGTTTTGGACGGGCTACCCAAAACGACAAATCGGTCACGTCAGAATTCATTTTGGCTTCCACCGAATAACGGCCCCGTGCCATGCTCCGCCAACTTGGGCCTTCGCCAAATGGTGGTCTTCCCACTTTCTGTGGAGGTGGGCAAAACACCTGCGGATGGTTGTGGAAACCGGATGGATCCAATTCCAACTTTTCCCAATCACAGAAGTCGAGAGGGATTTAGGAAGACCATCCTGAACTTGGAAAAGGGCTCATGCATCCCTCTCTTGAACCCAGTTCAGTCGCAAACACGTGTTTCCTTCGGCCAATCCTAGGCTTCCCAGGCCCGCAGTTCGCCGAAGCGCCGTGGGCCGCGCGACCAGTTCCAGCAGCCGCAGCGAGGTCTGCCACTCCGCGCAGCCAAAGGCGGCGGAGTTGCAGACCACGGTGGAGACCTGGAGGCCGAATCCAAAAGCCTCATATTTGAAGCGGTTCACCCAAAGTGCTGTACCCAAAAGTGCAAAGAACGAGGGCGAGAGCACCTATCTAGTCCCCGGGTTTGGATTGACTACCCCAAAAACCGCCACCCGAGTAGGAGAATGGAACAGAGCACCTTTGTGAAATGGTCTTCTAAGCTGAAACCCCCATTTTCCTCTGGTAGTGCTGGCTTGCGGGCAGGTCAAACCCTGAGAAACGCATGCTGACCCCTCAACAGCTGTTCTCAGGCACAGCATTGAGGGTTGAGTGTGTGTGGTGAAGGCCCTTTGCAGACCCCCCGCCCACCTGGCCCTGGCGCGCCATTGCCCACAGGTTCCACCGCCAGTCCAGCGCCCCGCGCCATGTTTGGGCTCCATCCTCCGAGTGTTTCCTTTGGTGTCCTTCCAAACCAAAACCTTGGAAAGGGTATCCTCACATCCTCTTGGGGGTCTTCCCTTCAAACCAACCCTAAAACGGGGCACCCTAAAAACACACACAGACACAGACACAGACACAGACACAGACACAGACACAGACACAGAGACACAGAGACACAGAGACACAGAGACACAGAGACACAGAGACACAGAGACACAGAGACACAGAGACACAGAGACACAGAGACACAGAGACACAGAGACACAGAGACACAGAGACACAGAGACACAGAGACACAGAGACACAGAGACACAGAGACACAGAGACACAGAGACACAGAGACACAGAGACACAGAGACACAGAGACACAGAGACACAGAGACACAGAGACACAGAGACACAGAGACACAGAGACACAGAGACACAGAGACAGAGACACAGAGACACAGAGACACAGAGACACAGAGACACAGAGACACAGAGACACAGAGACACAGAGACACAGAGACACAGAGACACAGAGACACAGAGACACAGAGACACAGAGACACAGAGACACAGAGACACAGAGACACAGACACACAGACACACAGACACACAGACACACAGACACACAGACACACAGACACACAGACACACAGACACACAGACACACAGACACACAGACACACAGACACACAGACACACAGACACACAGACACACAGACACACAGACACACAGACACACAGACACAGACACACAGACACACAGACACACAGACACACAGACACACACACACACACACAGACACACAGACACACAGACACACAGACACACACAGACACACAGACACACAGACACACAGACACACAGACACACAGACACACAGACACACAGACACACAGACACACAGACACACAGACACACAGACACACAGACACACAGACACACAGACACACAGACACACAGACACACAGACACACAGACACACAGACACACAGACACACAGACACACAGACACACAGACACACAGACACACAGACACACAGACACACAGACACACAGACACACAGACACACAGACACACACACACACACACACACACACACGTGGTTTGCTTTGTGCCCCTTTGGCTGGCCCTCAAATGACGAGACCCAAAAGTGGGTTGAATGTTCACTGCAAGCAGTCGAAATACCAAGTACAACGAGAAGCGGAATGTTGCTTCCAAAAACGGCGGGAGAAAACCAGAGCGAATATTAGGAGCCACATTTGGCAGCGGCGTCTTCCCTTCCCACTCACCAGTCGCCCCACTCCTGCCACTCAGAAGCCACTTGACCCAGCACGTCAGCATCTGTCCGTGCCTGCCAGCCCCAAAGGATGCAAACTGAAGACCGCACACCCACTGACTCTGACAAAACCATTTCCTGCACCCAAGCCTGGCGCAATGACTCCAGCAGCGTCCAGCCCCGAGCCCAGGGACATTCTCGCAGCACCATCTTGTTGGCCACGGGCCAGTCCACCGCCAGACTCATCACCTGGCGCCAGTGGCAGCGCCCGAGCTCCAGAGCGCTCATGGCGATGCCAAAGGACACGGCGCTGCTTCGGCCGCCGCGTGCCACGCGCCACGTGGTGAACAGCTCCAGCGCCTTCTGCCACTCCTCTGCCTTTTGGCACGCGTCCATGGCCGCGTTCTGCGTCACCACACTCGCCTGCAGCCCACACGTGGCCGGCAGCGCCAACAGGCCCAGCGCCTCCCGCCACCGCGCTGCCCTGGCGCAGGTGCTGATGGCTGAGTTGCAGGCGATAATGTCCAGCTGCAGCGCTGCCAAAACAAAGCCCCGCAACAGCTGCAGCGCCTGGAGCCACTGCTGCGAGTGCTGGCAAGCTCGCATTGCTGCTGAGGCCGTGAAGCTGTCTGGCCTCAACCTCAAGCTCATAAGCAGGCAGAGCGTTGTGAGGAAATGAAATGTGCGACGATGATGAATTGCCACCAAGCTGCCTGCGTTTCTTGACCTCCTTCAGCAAGTGAAGTGCTTGCTGCCATCCTTGAGCTGCACAACAAGCGTCCATGGCCGCATTGTATATGACAGTGTTTGCCTTGGTCAACAACATGCAATCAGCCGCAAACACAAACCCAGTGATCGCGAGCTCATCCAACCATTCACCAAGCCTGGTGCCGACGAGGCACTTCTAGAAGTGAGTCAGTGAGCTCCGTCAACATCCGCATAACCAGGCGCCAGTGGCAGCGCCCGAGCTCCAGAGCGCTCATGGCGATGCCAAAGGACACGGCGCTGCTTCGGCCGCGTGCCACGCGCCACGTGGTGAACAGCTCCAGCGCCTTCTGCCACTCCTCTGCCTTTTGGCACGCGTCCATGGCCGCGTTCTGCGTCACCACACTCGCCTGCAACCCACACGTGGCCGGCAGCGCCAACAAGCCCAGTGCCTCCCGCCACCGCGCTGCCCTGGCGCAGGTGCTGATGGCCATGTTGCAAAGCACCTCGGCATGCGGCGCACGGACCACTCGACCCTAAAAGGAGGGTTTCGCTACAACCCGGGCGTTTGCATGAGTTGGACTCCGACTGCATCCTGGGCGCCACATCCTGCAGCTGGCTGGCTGCCAGGCGCAGCAGCAAAACCAGCGCCTGCTGCCACTGCTGGGCATCTCCACATGCGGCAAGCAGCTCACGCATGCGGCCGTAGCGGTCCGGACCCAGCCATCCTCCAAGTGGATGGCTCACTTGGCCCGATCGGCACAAAGCTTTTGAGCCTTGAAGTGGTGCACAGGGCTCACTGCGACTTCCGCGTGGACTCAATCCATTCCTATCTGAACACGGTGTCCCAACATGACCTGTCAACCTGCGGATAACAGCTACAAAATGCCAATCCCTGCGTCAGCTTTCAATAAACCTAAAATCCCATGCTGCTCGAGTATGGCTGGTTCGCAGGAGAAACGTGTCAGACTGCCCCCCGTCACAAGCCTCTGACAAGGGCTTACTAAAGTGAGCAAAAGTCGGAGAACGACACTCATTCTCCGAGAGGGAGGGTAGCAGGAAATGTTGCCACTTGGATGGACCCTGCAACCAACCCAGGAACCCGTGGGCACATGTGGGAATCCGGAGCTCCGATGTTTGCCGAGCAGCTAAGTCTATGCACAAGGGTCTGTGCCCATTTCGGTATGAGGCCACGCCACGGCATTCGGCACGCGCCAGAGCGGTGTAGCTGTCCCGACACTCTGCTGGACATGTTGGAAAACTTTGTTCTCTGCCAATTGAAACCTGGACGGCTTAAAAAGTATTGGGGCGGCCACGCTGTGGTAGCAGCGCCCCACACCTCACAACATTAACATCTTAAATCAGGAGGATCGGGTGGAGTGCTAGGCACCTTCAAATGACCTTTGCCCACCATCTGCTCCTTACAAACCAAATGTTTGCTGAACACATCAAGCCTTTCCCTTTGCTCCGTCTGACCTCATTGAGCGCCTGGCTTCGCCCCACCCCACATCTTCGTCCTCCCGAAAGGAAACTCCTCGGCCACGGCTCAGTAGTAAGTGCCCACCTGGGCGCCGTTCGAAACGGGCGGTCTTTCGTACCACGTGCCGCAAGTCCTGTAGGAAAGACCTCCACTTTTAGAGGAGCATAGATGTTTTGAGACCAAAAACCACAAGGAGCAACACTCCCCTGTTCTCTCAGGGGATTGGGAAGTGGGAGAAAAGGGGATCTTACGGGATCTTGGAAGGGGCCAATCACGGCTCGCCCCGCGCCTTGCGGTGGTGCACCGCTGTGTTGGCGTTGGGCGAGGCCACGGACCCGCCCACCACCTCGGCGTAGCCCACCCAGTGGTCCCCCGCGTCCATGCGCGACACGATGCGGCACTCCAGGTAAGCGCAGGCCGACCTGACGCGACTCGCCAAGTAGCCGACCGGCCCATTGCACGCCGATGGGAACCCCAGACAAACAGCGCAGACATGTCTCAGGACAACTGGGGCTCTCATTTGTGCAACATGTGGAAACAGTGCACAAAGAAACAAGGTCTAAAGATTGAGCAGGGCATTTCGCCCCAAAAGCAACATCACCACCCATGGCCGACTCATATACATAAGTCACAATCAAGCAATCTCCAAATGTCCACCACCCTCCAATAACCCAAGCACCGGGCCATTTCAAGCTAGGCTTTCCATTGCTGTGAACAAAACTTCTGGCTTCCCCTTGAACGGGCGCCGTTGCGGATCGGTCCGTTGCCCTCCAGCCACGTGCGCCTGAGGATGGCGGCGCCGTTGGCGCCCTCCACGTGGTCCACGTTCCGCAAACGGTCCTCCCCCGGCGCGAAGCGCTGCAAGAAGTGCTTCATCATCTGCAGCGTCGCCGGCTTCCCGTCCTGTCAAAAATGGCACGGCGCGCGCTGGGACAAAAATCTGGATGGTAATTATTTTGCTAGTGAGACTTCTTGTCCTGCCGTCAAGGAATGCTGACAGTGGTTGCTTGTCAATGATGGCATGTGCTCTGCTTGTGGCACAAACCTTCATGGCATTTGGCGCGCTTGTGGCGCAAATATCTGGGGGATTTGAATGTGCATCGCATTCTGCCAGTGTCGACGAATGGGGAGTTGGTCTTGGTTGACATTTTGGGTTCGGGGAAACAATGACTCTCTGGCCCAAATGGCGCCAGGGGTGCCAGCGGGCATAGTTCCAGCAAGCACCCATGTCCGGATCGTCAAGCACCGAAAGAGCAATAGCTTGATATGGACTCTGTTAAAGTCTACGTCTGAACGAAGCATGACCTAAGCAACATGCAGAATTCAAACTCGAGGAGGCGCAACGGCAACACCCAAAAGAAAAGAAAACGCAAACTAAACAACACAACACCCAGCTCGCTGTCCGACAAAGGTTGTTTCCGCTCTTTCTGAGCTGGGAAAACTGTCCTCCAAGAGGTTCAACGTAAAGCTGTCGCCGATGCGAAGCAAAGGCTCCTTAGTCGCATTGGCGGTTAGATGGATGAAAGCAACATGGCATCATGAGTTTGCAGCCTGGGGCATCAGCAGCTCAGCTCTAAGTTAGAGTCTGTTCCCATGCAAGGCCAACGGTTCAAAACCGCATGGCGTCTGCTCATAACACCCCGATTGGGCCATCATGGTTGGTGGAGATGTACCTAGTTGTTGTGTTCATGGGTGTTCTGCTTCCAAAAACATGTGATGTAGCACGGTGCTTCAGACATGACCTGCGGAGGGAACAAACACAAATCTAGCACGGGTGGATGTGCCAAAACATTGGGGACATGCGCGTTGAACAGCTTGTCCAGATGATGCTCTCACAGACCCATCTGGTACAGTCATGCTGTATGTTGATCACCCCCCCAAACAAAGCGTAAAGTCAGCAGTTGTGGAGTCCAGGAGTCCAGGCTTTGAACATCTCCATCATATTTGGCCCCCCGGGGGGTACTGTCGCACTGTGACCTTGGGCCAACTGGAACACATCCATATCCACATCCGCCATCTCAGGCACCATCTCAGGCCCCTGGCACCCCCCCCCCATCCATCACCCGCATTCTCCATCCAAGGCGCCATGGCGCGCTCCTTGGCGATGGTCACCGACACCCCCAGGGGCTTGGCGCTGGCCGGGGTCACCCAGCTGGCCACCATGGCGTGCCTCACGTTCGCCTTCTTGGCGGTGACCACGTACAAACTGCTGGCCACCCGGCCCAACGCCTCGAGCGAATGATGGGGGGGGGGAGGGATGTTCCCAACTCCATTTCTCCAAGTGTTCGTCTGTGGGGAGGGGGAAGAAGGGTTGGCTGGCTGCATATCTGGTGGATGATCTGGGATCATGCTTGCGCTCACTTGTTTGAACCGCAGAGCCACCTTTCTCCAACCCAATCTGTGGCCGGCATCACACACAGACCGCCTCGCCACTCGCAGAACTCCAACGCCCAACTGGGCCCCGCCTTGGAGAGGTCCTTGTCCGCGCCCTTTGCCGCCTTGGTCTTGCTCTTCAGCGTCAGCTTCTTGCCCAGCTGCATGCCGGCCTCGTCGAGGTCGCGCGGTTTCCCGGTGCGATGTCCCGCGAAGGGAAGCATGGGGTGACGCAGAAAAAGAGCGCGAGGCGCGTAATGGGAAAACGCTGCTCTTGTAGAGGCTAAGTGTTTACATAAGGCAAACACAGCTCTCGAGAGAGGCTCCCCGAGTTTTGACATCAGGATGGAAAATTGCCATCTGCTCAGGTTTTAAACACACCCTCATGTTGGGCCCGTTCCAAAGCACCACGGGCACACAAGCTGATCTCCACGTTTGCTCAGACTCTCAACAGGCATTCGATGCGAATGAGTGCAAGATTTGGCTTGGGAGACACGTAGCTGTGAAGGGCTCTTTGCCTGCTCAGCTGCAAGAGAACTGTTTCAGCCTTACTTGCAGCCTCTCAGCACCCGCTCGGGCTCCCAACCTGAGGCATCAAGCCTGGAGTCCAACAAGGTTACCTACATGCGAAATAGGTAGAATATTTTAGGTCATACATAGTTTTAACACATATTCACAAGAAAGGAAACACTGCCGACCCAAAGCTGGCGAGCCCGGAGATTCAATCCTAAACCCCCTTGGTCCATTCGTCAGCCTCGGTTCTATCCGATGTTGGGCGACCGAAGTGAACGTAGTGTCATGGGACACTGACCACACCCAAAGCCTCCTCAAAGGTGTGGAGGATCTGGACGGTCACTGGCTTCTTCACCTCCACGGCCGGAAGCGCCTCCGGCACATCGGCCTCCAGCAACCGGCCCCGCAGCAAGGCCACGGGCTCCTGGCGACTCGAAACGTGCCTGGAGTCTCCATGACCCTCCTAAAAATGGGGGGTCGCTGCCCAGAATTACAGTCGGCATGACCCCATTTTCTAGTGGTCAGAAGGAGACTCCAGATGAGCCAATGGCGCTGGAAATGGCTTTTCAGCCTTTGGGCTGGATGCCCTCGAAGCTGCGGAACCTGAGAGCGGAAGCCGTCAAAAAACTGTAGCGCCAAAACGGCAAGGAGGACGAGGGGAGTAGGACATACAGCAAAGGAAACAGCCTGATCAAACACGGCAAGCGCAAAAGCAGACAGCAACTGCAACATCAACAACAAAAAGGCAGCCACCAACAGCATTGGGAAACAAAAGCAAACAAATTACCATTAACATCAAGGAAAACTCAGTGGAAGTTTGACCTAATGGCCTTGAAATGAAGCGGACGTGGTGCTTGGAGGTTGCAAGCACGCGTAACTTTCTTCTTTATCTACACAAATAACGTAAGGTTCATAGACAGAGGACCACTGACCAATCTACATCAGAATCGGGCTCTGCTGCAGCCTGGCCATCATCTGCCCAATCAATCCCAGCTGTTCAATGCCAAGGCATCCTCCCGCAGCTCAATTGCACGCATGCTTGCGGAATTTGCCGTGAACATGGCCTTCAAAGGCCGAAGAGGCGGCGCTCGCAAGCAGCGTGCCATGGCAACATGCAGCTCGCCCCGATGTCAGTCCGGCCCCAAAAAGGCCGCTGAGCGAGCCCCTGCCGAAACCCCGCTCCTGCGCGTCATCGCAGCTGTCCAGCACGATAAACTGGTGCTTCTTTGGCTTCACCTCCGCTTCGTCCAAGTCGTTCTCCGCTCACGAACCCGCAACAAAAAAAGGCGCCGGTTTCTAGCGACCTTCAGGTTTTTGATAGCGCGAGTATTGCTCATGTCCATGGGAGGCTCGGATGTGTTGAAGCATGGAGAAGGGGGGGATGTGTATAAAGAAAGGGCCTCCCCAGCTAACTCAAGCGTTCAGCAAATGAGCTGCTCCCAATCTTGCAGGAAAGATTTCCAGGGTGACTGTCTGCAGAGCACGAACAAATCAATGCCGTGAGTCGCCAAATGAAGACAGGCCGAAGCAGGCTGCTCAAAGTGTTCCGTTCCAGGATTCCTGAATTCACCTTCCCCACGCCAGCCAGCTTGAAGCTGCCCTGTTCTCCGTTCAACCAGTCTTCACCCAACATTGCTTGTTGAAGAGCTTCCTGAAACTGGCTCCTGCCTCTCAAATCTGGCTGGACGGTGAAAACCCTGTAAGGAAAAAATGCTTTGCCGGTTCTTCGTTGTAAACGGGATTTTTCCGCAAGGTCCAAAAAACTCAGCACTGGTTGAGAGTTGGAAAACCGATACTGCAAAGGTTCAAAGATTGAGCCAAAGAGCAACTGCACTCCGGCAAGCCCCCGTCTTCAATCTGTCCATCCCCTCAGGCCCCCAAAGCCCACCGAGTCGACCGGCAACAGGCCATGGGTTTGCCCACCCCCTTCCCGTTTCCCCTGTTTCAGTGGCCAAGGCCAAGCATGTTCAAACCAGCTCAGCCCGCAACTCCTTCAAGATTCAACATTCTTCACACATTTTGCCACGGTCAAAAAACTCCTTACGTTCCATCAGCCCCAAGTTTAGGGGATCCAGTTGGCCCTTCGGATCCAGGTGCCACCTCTCCCCCACCCCAACCCAATCCCCGGACTCGGAATCCGCGGCGCGTTGGTCACGATGCTCCCGAGCTTCTGGGCCGCTGAGGACTCCGCCGGGGGCGCCATCACCGCGATGATTTCCTCGGAGGTCCGAATTCGCGCGGGTGCCGTGGGGGTGGCTTGGCTCAGGGAACGGAATGGGACAGATGGAGGGGGTTGGCTCAGGGAACGGATGGAGGGGGAAATGGGAGACATACAAGTGCCCAAGAACCCGTCGACTTTTGGCTCTACCAGCATTATGAAGGTTGATGACCTTCGCAGCGCCTTGCAGCATCTCCGGCACCAAACTCCGGAAGTTCATGCAGGCCGATTTACTCGTGAGAATGCGCCAGGCCACGTTTTAAGACATCAAGAAGCCTTAGCTAGTTGGACATGTGAAGCTATTGGCGATTGCCAAAGCCCCTGGCACACCTCATAACTGTCGTGGCTTCAACTTTGCTTTCGCCAGTGGGCGTTTGCGAAACCACGCTGGGCACATTGAAACCCCCTCCCTATTTTTCCAATGGCTTGCTTGCCAATCGCGGCTTTCCTCGCAAAATGTTGGGCTCACACACGCCTTTCCAGTTCTTGCTCCTCACTCCTCCTGCAAGCCACTACATGTCCCAGTCCAAGCAAGCTGCCGCTGTATTTGTGCTTGGGACAGCCTACTTCAATTCCCTGCCTATGTGTTGATTGTTGCGCTGACAGCTGTCCCCATCTTGGAAAAGTGCACATAGTGCCGCTGTTGGAGAACGCGCGTACATATGAACCAGCATCCTACCCAAGGGGAGGGCGCCTGAAAAAACATGTCCGTTCCGCCCACACACAAATTCCCCGGCGAGGGTCGTTCCGCGCTAGACACTCCGTGATTTCAAAGGCGTCCACAGCGTTCAGGTCGTGCATCTCCACCTACCCAAACCGACACGTTGCTTTGAAGGCCGGCGAGTATCCACCTACAGAGAAGCAAACCCTATGCCAATCTACACAATTCTTGCAGGGTTCTTGCTGTTGCGCCTGCTTCGGTGTTTGCCATGTTTGTCCTTCGAGGGAAAACAGGGGCAAAGCGATCATTTCCCGAGCACAAACTGCGGGATCAGAAATCTGACGCATGGATAGTAGTTCAGTCAAATTTTCTCAAGAGGGTTTCTTGCATACAGGGAGCCGTCGAAAGGCGTCTGAAACGTTGGGGGTGGGATCCTTCAAAAAAAATGCCTTTTCCGGATCAACTCCAGTGACAAAGTCTTTTGGAGCATGGCACGAATGACGTGTTTGTTTCACGTTCCGGTTGGTCAGGTGCGTGGGGTTGTTACAATTTGGAGGAAGCATGCCTATTCTTGTACGATTTCTCTGCCATTTTCAAGACCCCCCCAAAAAAGGCTGTTCTGGGAGGAATGTTTGCACACAAAGGCCACCACTCCAAACAGCCCGGTAGGTCAGAGGGAACCCGTTTTGGGGGTTGACCCTTTCAATGATTCCCGAACCAGGCAAAAGAGAAAAGGGGTGCTGAACCGGTGGCCCCCCCCCCTTTCTTCCAGCCCGTTCGGTGCTTCCCAAAATGCCTAGCACCAACCCCAAACCACGAGAGAAAACAACAGACGTCGAGTTTTAGTTTTTTGAGATTCAAGGTGAGCACACGTGCGGCAAGGTGCGGGAGCTGACTAAAGTGGTACATCCCCGGATCACATCACCAGTGCCTTAACAAAGGAAATTGTCTGAAAGTAGATGCTGCGATAGTCTGTAAGCTAAAGTGGTCGACACCCCAGCACTAGCCGCTCTTTGGTAAAGGAAGTACTTTTCCGCATAGCACAAGCAAACTAAACTTTTGAGAGTCGTTCGGCTGCGTCAAAGTTCTTTGCGCAGCGAATTACGAAATTGCATTTCCCAGTTCGACATGAGCTGTTCTGCTTCGGACGGTCTTTATTGACTAAAGCCGTCGACACCCCCACCATCACATGTCTTTAGGCATGAAGATGCTCTTCCATCTATTAAAAATACATACATGCTGCGATAGTCCGCGAGCTCGAAAGGCCATGCTTGTCAGCTTGCCAAACGTAGGTGTCACCCTGGTCCGAAGACTAAAGTTGTAGAGATGTGAGGTGGGTTGATGTACCAGGCCAGAACTCAACTAAGCCCCCCCAAAAAGGACAGCTGAAACCTGAGTCCGCTGCAGAAGCCAAGCAAGGAAAGAGCAGGCTCGAGCGATGAGAGTTTTGACTGGAGTTCATGCCCCCCCCCCCAAACAACCTGTCTGTCACACAGCCGCCAGCGTCTTCTTTTTCCTTTGATAGTGGAAGGTGTGCGCCGAGCCTTTTGCGGCAGGCCTCGCACTCCGAGTGTCCCTCGCGGCCTCTCTCAACTGTTTTCGCCAGCGCGCCCACGTCTCTGGACGATAACCCGCCGTCACAGCTGAACCGTCACCCAGAAGATCCACAAGCTGAGGCAAGCCCGCTCAACACACACCAAATTTCCCATCCGAAACGTGAGGCCCCGCCAAGCACGAGGGGTGAAAAACCATACCGGGTGGGCGAGAAAGGCCTGGGCTGAGGCTCAGATCAAATCACTGCGGCGGCCAACCGTCGCATCTTCATCTGCGTGTTCCTGGGGAGGTCTTCTTTTCCCGGCGGCGGAGATTCATTGCAGCCCAGAAGAAGAACGTCCACCATCGAAGAGCATTGCGGAATGGCTTCTGCGTTCTTCAAGGCCCTCCTCTGCGATCCACCACCAGGCGCAGCTTGGGAGCCCAACCATCCAACCACGCAGCAGGTCAATGGTGAGCCAGAAAGCTTGGGAACTTGCCGATGGCCCACAGCAGGGCCAGCAAGCTTTGGCTGGGGCCGAAAAGTGCGCGAAGGAGGAGGGAGCGAAACGTCGTGAAGCACCGGAAGGAAAACCAAGCGACAACCCCAACACACGGACCACACAACACAACACTCTGGCCAGCTGGGTCGCCAGACAGCCAGGAGGAAAAAGGCACCAGTTGACAGCGGTTCAAGAACAACCAACAAGCGCAACGCTTCTGAGTAGAGTGAGACCAGTTCCCTGAACGCCGCACCGGCAGCGAAACTATGGCTCAACATCCAAGGCCAACAGCATGCCCGGGCCTGCGGTTGCCATAGCGAGAAAGACCAAACCAGGTCTGGACACTCAGGTGGGATCACTGTGGTGCCGCATGGCCACGGCCAGCCACAGGACCATCCCCCGCCATGAACAATGTGGACTAGCGAAGGCCGCGAACAGGGGCAGGAGCATGAAAACAGGAAGAGGACGGGGAGCGCCCATGCAGGAGGTACCCATGTGCGTATACATATATATATATATATATATGTGAATATATATGTATGTATATATATGTGTATGTATGAATGTATATATATATATATACACATATTCATAATACAATATATACATAGATAAAACATGTATACCTTACCCCCTTTTTGTCGGAGGGTGTTTTGTGTTTTTGTTGGACACCCCTCCGCCCCACTTTGCGTCCGGGCGTTGACGTTGCAGCTGGTCAGGCCGTGGGCGAAGAGCTGCGACAGGCGCTCGCTCTCCCCGAAGCGGCTCACCCAGAAGATGGCCACCGAGGGCCCGATCTTCGCGGTGGCCTCTGAGCCAGGGGCACGTTCCATGGGCACCCGGAGAAGGTAGGTGTCTAAAGGGGGTTCCCTTCCCCCCTTCCACCCACCCCCCAACATGGTGTTGTTGTTTGTTTTGTTCTTGTCTTTTTTTGTGTTTCTTGTTTTTTTTACCCGGGTCCCTTTGAAAGTCTAAGGGTGCCTTCAAAAAAAGCAACCCCGAATCGAAACGGACAATGGAAACCCTGGATCTAAGTAGAAGCTATCCTACAGGGGGGTGTCCAAGGGGAAAACACCCCCACCCTATTAGTCATCCAGGGGTTTACTGCTTCTGGGTTCCATTCTGCTGGTTCTCAGCCAGGAATCAACAGGTGCCTTGGGACATTCGCCCCTTTCCTGCTGAGAACCAGCAAGAACTAATAAGGGCTAAATGATCAGAATGGGGGTTGGCCCGAGCTATTCTGGCCCACCACACCCCAGGATTGCGAAGCAGTGCTTTCGTGAAGTTCCAGGCAGGCCTCAAACCTTCTGGTCCTCATATTCCAAAGTTGACCAATATGGAAACCATCAGGAAACCACCAATCTTTTGTTGGGGAGGTCTGCATGGTTGGATTTCATGTTGCAAAGGGGTACATGGTGTTTAATCTTGTCCACATCAACGGTTTGAAAGTGGTATGTAATTGAAGTGTTGATTGTCCAAATTGAGGGTTACATGAAGCTGAACGACTCTCCGCGATATCACATTGGTTGCAGAGATGTTGAATTGTATGAAGCACATTCTCAGTCTGCACATTCTCAGTCTGAAATGTGAGGATAACCCCATCAACCTCTTCCATTTATGCTTGGAAGCGAGTTATTCCCAATCTCCGGACCAGGACCAAGCAATGTATGCACGCGGCGCGCTGTTCATTTTTGTTCCCCTGGACAACTGGGTTGCTCAGACAGGAGGGTAGAAAGTTGGTAAGCAAAAAAATGGGAAGGCGAGCAAACCCCAGAAAGCAAACAAAAAAGCTTAGGGTATGGCCGGGAAGCCACCTGGACCAAACAACGTGGTGCATTGGCACGTGTCTCTCCTTTTTGTTCCGCCGAATCGTTTCGGCGAACTGGCGCCTTCTCGCTCCAGCTGCGGTAGAGCTCCATGAAGTCGCTGGTGAACTCCGAGAGGATCGGCCCATGCCCCGTGGCGATGGTCTCAGGCCGGCACGATTTCGGCCGCGCGATGTTCTTTTCGGGGGAAAAGTGGGTCTGCTTCCCCCGTTTTGCTCTGGGGTTGAAGGGAAAACCCAGAGGAAAACTACGATTTTGGGGGGGGTTCAAGCTCAAACAAAGACAGGCAGCAGGTTTGCCGCGTCCTAAACCAGAAGCATTCCTGTCACCATGTGCACCAGCTACAATTTTCTACTTTCTATCCTTGTAGGCCTGCGTTGAAGGCAGTTGAGAGCTGCTTGGGGCTGGTTTGGGGTTGCTGTTGGGCTCCTGTGAGTGGACCATCTCTCCATTGAGATTGGCGCATGGATTCAAAAGCTTCCTCGGGAGATCTCCTTCACTCCCTGTTGTACACTCCTTGGGGCACACGTCCGCTTTTGCTACGCGCAAAACCACTCTCTGCCAAGACCCCCTTCAGGGTTCGGCCCGCAAGAACCACTGGCCACAAGCGGAGAAAATCGGCTGATGCCAGAACCTGCTCAGCGCAGCAAAACAAACCTTAGATGCGCTACTTTGAAATATCAAGCTTCGAACATTCTGAGCAGCCCAAGGGCCATGTGAGCGGGCACTCTCAGCGATCCAAGGTCGAAAGCTCATGTCTTTGAGACAATGAGGCATTCTTGATGAATCCTCGGCATTCAAGACTTCGCAATGCTCCGGTGCGTCAATTTGTTTCTTGCTTTTCCAGCTGTGCTTTGCAACGGCTGGGTTTGTCAGGCTCAAGCCCGGCATCTTTGAACCAATCGCTCAAGATGTTCGCCTCGGTGTTCTGCAACAAGAGCTCTGGATGACTTTTGGCGAATGTGCCCCCTTGTGCGAAGAGCTTGATCATTGTAAAGTAAGGGTCGCTCTTGCGAGCTTCATACTCCTGCCAGAGAGCAGCTGCATTCTGAGGGGTCGGCGTCGGGCACTCTCCAACGCGGTTGATGCACAGCGGTTCCCAAATGTCGAGCTGAGGACCGCTTGAGCGGTTGTTCGGGTCCAGCAAGACCACCTTCGTGTTGTTCAGATTTCCATTCCTGGACATGTGGTACTTGGAGGCAGCGGTGGCACATTTTGCCCTGGTGGCCGCAGACAGCGTCGGAGCATTCATGCAAAGGGGCAGAGAGGCGTTGACCTCGACCATGATAGGCTCTAGGCTGCCTGAGCCGAAGGCCAGGTAAGGATTTCCCCCCGCCTGGGAGGTATCGAGCACGTCTCCAAAGTTCGCCTTGATGTCCTGTGCATACCTCCGGAAGATGCCTGTGTCTCGACGAGCCATGAAGAACCAGACCGCAGCGCTATCTTCGGCTTCCCAGGGCTCAATCAATCTGTACCAGTAAATCACAGAGTCTGCACCCTCCTGCAACATCCTATTCCACAAGACATTCAGAGACTTTAAGTTCAGAATCGTCGAGTCAACAGCAACCCCTCCGTAGAGCGCCAGGACATTGGCCATGACCATATCCTTCTTGTTGGCGGCGCTCGCCCACGACCAGAATGTGGATGGTAGCATCTCTGGGCTTACATAGTCCAGCAAGTTCTGGTCCGAGACAAATTCGACATTCCAATCGGGATTGTTGGCGCAAAACGTTTGGATGCACAAATCGACAATACGGCTTGGCATTGGGTTGAAGCCCTTGTCCCAGTAGAACCAGATTGTCTTCTCAGGGATCTTTCCATAGAACTTCGGATTTCCAGGCAGTCCAGGAAGGGCCAGTGACGGTTGAAGGGCACGCAAGTGAGAACTAGGCACAGGCAAAGACTGGAGGAGCAAGCCAGCGCAAGTACCCAACATAAAGGCTGCCAGGACGAGTGCTGAGATCGCAAAAAGCTTCACGCCGACCAATCGGCTCTCAACCCGGCGAATCTCACTGTCGGACGAAGCCGCTTCCACATCGGTGGGTAAGTAAAGACTCATCTGGAAGTCTGAGCTTGAGGATCTAATCAACTGCAAGGCAAATGCAGGTCATCTGTGCGGTCAAGCTGTGTTCCCCCAAACTAAGCTCGTTTCATGAAAATCCGCGAGTCTATCCGTGTGGTCTCCGAAAACTCACACAGGACCCGTAGTAGTAGCGCAACCAGCGGCAGGTAGCACTAGCACGCGCCGCTTGCCTACTCTGGGTCGTGGCCCACCAAGCATCCAACCATCCAACCGTCCAACCATCCAACCATCAGCCAGCCAGCCAACAAGCCGGCCACCCATCTCACCCAACCACTCAACCCACCAACCCACCAACCAACCAACCAACCAACCAACCAACCAACCAGCCAGCCAGCCAGCCAGCCAGCCAGCCAGCCAACCAACCTGCCCACCCACCCACCCGCCCACCAACCAACCAACCGACCGACCGACCAACCCACCAACCCACCAACCAACCAGCCAACCCACCAACCCACCAACCCACCAACCCTCCAACCCTCCAACCCACCAACCCACCAACCACCAACTAACCCACCAACTAACCCACCCACCCACCCACCCACCCACCCACCCACCCACCCAACCAACCAACCAACCAACCAACCAACCAACCAACCAACCAACCAACCAACCAACCAACCAACCTGCCCACCCACCCGCCCACCAACCCACCGACCGACCGACCGACCAACCAACCAACCAACCAACCAACCAACCTGCCCACCCACCCGCCCACCAACCAACCGACCGACCGACCGACCGACCAACCAACCAACCAACCAACCAACCAACTAACCAACCAACCAACCAACCAGCTGCTGGCCTCAAGAACAAGGTGCATCTCATCCACAGGGGATTGACGGGAATATCCAAGCATTGGCTGACTGCAGCCACCCATCTTTCTCTCTTTTGCAAATGCCCTCAAGCTGCCCTCTCCCCTTAGCAGCCCATGTCTGAAACATGCGAGCATCTGCAGCTCACCCTTTCTCGGTCTTCGAAATCAAAGGACAGCCGGCCTTTTTGAGACTTCCCCCATTGAAACACGGCCCATCCGCAACTTCCAAAATGACCTCCAGCCCCGGCCCATTGCCTTCACCTCTAAGTCTTTGATCCGGCCCAGGGCAGACAGCACCGACCGGGCGTTGGGCTTCATCAAACAGTCCTCAGCTCCACTCGGACCATGATTGAACATCGCAAGGTCCGATTGAACCAAACAAAAACGGGTTTGCTTCTCCACAAACCAGGCTCTTTGAAAAGAAAAACACAAAAATTGGCTTCATCGCAGAGAGTCGTAATAGAGGGAGTAGTGGGGCGTCAGCTCCTTGACCCCCTCCACGTCCAGGGCGTTCTCGGAGCAGTAGTGCATCCCAAAAGCGTCGCAAGTGAAGAGCATCCCCGTCTGGCACGTTAGATTTCGTAAAACATATGCAAGTGAACCAACCACCTCCAACCGCACGACACGGGTGAACTGCGAAGAAGCTCTGTTGTGCATCCGCCGGAGGCTTGACAGCTTGACAGACCTTCACTTATACATGTGTTTGACCACGGTCAGGCTTGGGTAGTGCTGGTTCCCCGCCCATGGAGTTGGCTTCAAACGTCAACTCCTTTCATCCCTTTTTCGCAAAGAGGGCTGCGGTTTGGTGTCTAGACTCAACAACTAATGGCGCTCGGCCCAGTTTTGGCCGGTTTTGGCCGCAGGCTTCGAACATGACGTTGTTCCAAAACTACAGTGAAAGGGCCCATGTAGCCATGTAATTGCACCAACCAGGCACGTCTCTTGCCGCTTGCCTTGTGGTCGTAGGTGAACATGGTGTCCGGCCAGTGCAGGTTTGGGGCAATCACAAACTCGAGGTTGTGACCACCCCCAAGGTCTATCTGCACACCCGTCTGAACGATCCGGCTCTTGAAAGGCCTGAAGACAAGGTTCTGCAAATAGGAAATGCACCTCGGACCAAGGATTGAATGACGCGCAGGCTCAATCCATTTTGATGCGTTTGTTTCTCTACTCCCCTGATACACATCAAAGTGCATTGTTCGAACCTGGTGTTCAAGAAATCACGAGAGCGGCCGGAACCTGTATCGGGTTGGACTGTCCCCTAACTTCCTTGACCATTGTGTCGCGTCTCCTTCAACCACACTGTAAGCAGGCCCCCGCAAAGTTCGATTTGCTATCAAACTAACTAGCTTTCACCCAGAGGGCCAGAGGGCTCATGTCCTGAGAAAGGAACGGTTCAGTCCTATTCCCAAAAAGCAAATCGAATGGAGCCCCACGTGGCCCAAAAGCTCCAGCCTGTTCCCGTGACCTGACACCCCTCCCGTCACCGCCCCTCCCGTGACGCCGTGACGTGACGACGCGGGCGCATCTTGGAGCCGATGATCTCCAGGTCTTTGTTGCCCGCCTCCTCCGCCAGCTCTAAGACCTCATGGTTTGATTCAGGGAGCCATGGGGGAGACCACCGGAAATGGACCGCGGGTGCTCGTCCATTGCATTTACCAGGGTTCCATCTTTACCCTTTTTGTTTGACCCACAGCCAGTTTCAAGGGAACCCTCCAGAACTCAATGAACAAACAAGCCACCACTAGGCAGCTGAGGACCAGAGGCAAAAAAGGATGTGTCAGAATGGAGAAGAGTCTTGTTTGACCCTCCGCGAAAGGAAACATGACAATCCAAGTTGGACAACCCCCCAGTCTCCTGGTTTTGGCTTAGCCAAAACACCTTGCCGATGAGCCCCGAGTGGTCTGGCTCCGTGTGAGATACAATGAGGTAGTCCAGCTGCCCAAGGTCTAACTCCTGCCCGAAACCCCGCGCAACCGCCCAAACGGGGCCTTTGGCGGTTTTCGGTTTGGGAGGCCAAAACAGAAAAAGCGAGTGAAAGAAACGGGCGAAAGCGGTAGACTCTTCATGCGGCCGGAGTGTCAATACATCCTGTCGCAAACCATGCCGCTCTTGGGTCCCCGTTTTAACGCTGAACCACAATTTGGGGGGGTCCCCCCCCCCTTTCGGTAGCACCACCCCCGTTCCCCTTTCAGTTTCTTCAAACGACCACAAGTGGGAGCCACGGAACTCCTTCCGCAACGCAGCCAGGTAGAGGTGCTCGAACTTCTCGTGGGAGGTATCCACAAGTGCACACTTCTCGCTGCCTGCACGCATGGCGCTGGTCACACACACACACACACACATGTTGCCCCGGTTCACAGGACAAGGCTCTGAATGAGCTGGTAAAAGTGAGGGTTAAAATGGGTCAATCAGGTTCATTCAGCTTCCCTCTTTTCAGGGGTTCAATTCCCCAAACCACCAACTAAGGGTAACCTGATTCATGCTCCAGGGAGGTGGACTACATGTGTGGGCCGTCGTAGGGGGCGGCTCTCACTCTAATGCGTCCCCCCCCCTCCCCCGGGCAAATTTCCAGGTGCAGGAGCATATGAGCCACGGTCAGAATTTCTTGTTTCCCATAAAGGACATGGACAACTAGTGCGTCGCCTCGTTTTTGGCGGGAAATTTACTGAGTCCCCTGTGAAAAAAAAACACAAACCCCGATCCTACGGCGGCCTTTGGTCCTCCTATCGGCGGATTCGAGCTCTCCTCCCCACGTTTTGCCGGCTTTGTGGGACATTCTCTGAAAACAAAAAGCAGCTAGCTGAAGCCCCCTCGATCCCAACCTCTCCCAGTGACGCCTCGAATGATGTAGGAGTTGTAGGTGGTACCGCGCTCCAGCCGGAACTCGATGTCGAAGCGGTCCCGGTCCCAGTCCAGGGACCGGATGGTACTGGTGTCCTTTGCCACCTCCTCGATGGACATGGTCTGCAGGCGGTACTCTTTGCCTAAGCCATCGAACAGGAAAGGAATGTTTATTAATGTTATTGCTTTTTTCGCAGCAACAGGAAAGGTAAAATCCTGCCCCAAGCACGGGCCATGCAGGTTGCGACACTTGGACTTGAGAAATTATGGTCTAGCACTGAGTCACTCAGACCCAAAAGCCAGCTAATTAGCACTACACTCTTGCCGGTTGGGGCCTCAGCGAGGCAATCCAAAAGGCCGACCTTTTTTTCGGGAAGTTTGATCCAGCGCTTTTGGGTTTTTTTTTCCGGTCACCTTTGGAGTGTTTTAAGGTGGGTCCAGGGCGCGCTTAGGGTTTAGGGTGGTTGGGGGTTCGGGGTGAACCTGGTTTAGGGTGGGTTTGGCGCGGGTTTGGTTGGGGTGGTTTGGGGCCTTAGGTAGAGGGTTAGATGGAGGGTTGGCGCAAGGTTGGTTTAGTTGAGGATTACGGTGGGTTTAGTGTGGTTCTGGTAGTTTAGGGTGGAGGGCAGTGTTGGTTGGGTTTAGGGCTTACAGGGTCGGTTCAAGGTCCGTTTGGGTTGGGTTTAGTTGGTTTGGTTTAGCATGGGTTTGGGGTGGGCAGGATATAGGCTTAGGGTAGGATGGGTTTAGGGTAGGTTGGGTGCGTTCGGGGTTACCGTCATCCAGGACGTCCTTGTGCATGAACCGCCACCTTCACGAGGATACTTGGCGGGTGCCTTAGTGAAGCAGGACAGGAGAACGAAAGCAAGCTGAGTGACAGTTCAGGGTTGGTTTAGGGCGGGTTTTGGTTTTGGTTTTTGGGGTGGGTTCAGGTTCAGGTGCGTTGGGGGGTTGGTTTACTTAGGAGTCCGTTCAGGGTAGGTTCGGGGTGGGTGTAGGGTGACTTAGGGTGCTTTAGGTGGGTCGGTTTGGGATCGGTCTAGGGTGGGTTCAGATGGAGTTTGGGTTGGTTGAGTGGGTTGAGTTGAGGATAAAGGCGGGTTTAGTCAGGTTTCGGATCGGTTGGGGTTCAAGGCACGTGTGGTACGTTTGTTAAGGGTAGGTGTGGGGTGCGTTTAGGGTCTGAGGTGGGTCAGGGCAGAGGGTAGGTGGTTTTGTGTTTAAAGTATACCGAGGGGGGGGGGTTCAGGCTGCTTCATTGCCTGCTTGCTTGCTTGCTTGCTCGGTCGCTCGCTCGCTTGCTTGCTTGCTTGCCCGGGGAACTGGAAAAATCCCCAATCCAGCGGGAGAAAAGATACCTAAATAATATAGCACCCAATCCAAAAGATCTGCAAGGCATTCTCATCCCAGCCGGAACCCCCTGCGTCCCATGACCCAACAGCAACCCCAGCCACTCACCGCGGCCAGGCTGCCAGGGGTGAGCCCGGTCCAGCTCTCAATCTCCGACATCTGCAGCTCCCCGCCCCGCGCCCTTCTGGCCACCCCAAGTCGCCTAGGCCTCGCCCACGCCAGCGCCGCCGCGTGCGCGCGCGAGGCGCCCGCAAAGGCCCCGAAGCCTTTGCCGGAGGCTGCGACACGCCCCGCAGCCAGGGCCGGAGCCTTGCGCTTGAGGTCCCCCAGCGCGTTGGCGTTGAGCACGGAGATGAGATCCGTCTTCTGACTCTCGTCCAAGACCTTGCCGCTCTGCACCTCCGCGTAAATCAGCTTGTGGTCACCGGCGTCCAGCACCGAAGTGGTCTTGCACTCCAGGAAGGCATGGCATCCCTCCATGACCTTGGTGGTTCAATCTTAGTCGTGGGCTGCATATGTACATATATATATATATATATATACATAGATGTGTTTCTGTTCCACGAGCATTTGAGGAAGGGCAAAGATATACAAATTGACCTAGCGACCATACACCCGTTGGAAGGCTTGGCCTTCTTGTGCGCCTTGCCCTTTGCCAGCTCCACGTTGCTCTGGCCCTCCGGCACCAGGCTCAGAGTGAAAACCTCCGATCAAGCTCATGGCCAAGGAGCGTGTCTGAGTCATTGACCCTCTAGCCCTGGAGAATGCAGTATCAGGATCCAGGAAAACCGACTGCAGGCCTCGAAGCTGTTTTGCCTTGTTTACTCCCTCCAGCAGGGAGACTGGCTTCTTTCCACAAAAAGAGTTGACGATTCAATTCACAGCTAGGTCAAGCCACAGTTGCCAGAGATTGGTGGACATGAGTTACTATTGAGGTCCACCAACCGCTTTGGACGGCTTCCGAATTCATGGCCATCTCGGTGCTACGTCCATTCCAGACAGTCCTCGCCACTTGAATTCCAAGTTGCGACCCTGCAGACGAGCTTATCAGCCATTCTACCCACCAAAAACCACCGCAACCTAATCGACCACAACACCCACCCACCAGCCAAACTGGGCTCTTCAAATCGGAGGGCTGGCCAATCCTGATCCATAATCCTGATAGGAAAGCCACTACAAAGGGGACCCCTTGCGGAACCCCAGGTAAGGATTCAAGTTTACCTTTGAATTCCCAACAAGACATTTGGAAATGTATCTGCATAAATATGAGCATGTGCCGTACCAAGTCTTGAATTGTCTGGTTCCCTCCCTAACCCTTCCCCCATTCCCTTCCCCACCCTATTCCCTTCCCCTCCACTCCCTAACCCTTCCCTCCCGCCTCCAGGGGGTTCTCCGAATTCTCCTTCTCCTCCGCCTTCTCCCCGTCCAGCAGCTGGCGAAAGGGCTCCCCCGGCTGCACGGCCAGCCGCAGCTCGTCAAAGGTCACCAGGTTTTCCTCGTAGGGATCCAGCAGCTCCTGGGCCTTTGAGTCGCTTCTTGGGTCGCTTTTGGGTCGCTTTTTTTTTGTTCGCTACTGGATTCTTTGGATCGGACTTCTTGGGTCGTTTTCTTGTTGTTCCCCTTCCCACTGAACAAAAACAAATCGAAACAAGCCCACGGTCTTTTTGGAGATGTTTGTTGGTTGGATTTCCCTTCCCATTAAAAAAAAAAAGCCCGAGGTGATTAGAGTGTTTATTGGTTGGATTTCCCTTCCCATTAACCACAAAACTCGAAACAAGCCCAAGGTCTTTGGAGTGTTTATTGGTTGGATTGCTTCTTGGGGCCCTTGGAAGGGAAACCAGGAAGCAAACCATTTGAAGGGTCGTTTTTTGTTAGTAACAATTCCTTTTTGGATCGCCTGCTCAAGGATCCAGCAGAATATGTCAGGCAACCTTTATTTTAATGGAGGATTGGTGGACATCATTCCCCATTTGGCCATGGGTCGTAACCTATGCCTCCATTTTGGCGCGAATGGACACCCATGTACCACCTCTTTTGATGTTCACCAGGACCTTCCTGGGTTTCGACCCACAGCTACCCAAGCGCGCGTGGCATCCCAAGGACCTCTTGGACCCTCTCCCTGAAAGCCGCAGAAATTTGGGCAAGCCTTCAGCTGTGGAAAAGACATATCCACAAAAGGCTAATTATATAGGTCCATATGTGAACCCATGACCCCTTGGGGGCTATGAGTCAGCGATAACTAACGCTCAAATAAGCAATAAACTAGTTCATACCGGGGATTCATATATATATATATATATATATTCAGCCTTTGAACATGCCCGGGGTATGAGGGCCATACACCTTGCCTCCGCCAGGCGCTTGTCGTCGGTCCCCAGCAGCTGGACGATGAGGTCTTTGATTTCCTCGCCCTCCAAGTACCTATGGAGGAGCTCCAACCATGGCAATAAGTCAGGAGGGTGAATCATACTTTGCCAAACCAAAACAAGTGCTCCCTTGAAATATGTGTATGTATATTATATATATATATATATATTGGCACTAAACAAGGATGACATCGGTATCACATGCAATCAAGTCTTTGTGAATCAGCCCAAAATATGAAGGGACATCTATGAAAGGAACCAGCATCATACCAGGTGAGGTGAGGTTGATATCATGCATGGTGCATATGCCCAAAACTAGCGGAACCCCGCCAAAAGGTTGGCGTCGTGCTGGTTCTTCTCTCAAAGCGGCCCAACGGATATTGCCATATTCTCGATTGGCTGCCGACCGCGGGATATGAGAGCGAGTTTCCCTAAAACGCACTGGGACCCTAAAAAAAGGCCACGCGCAACCCTGAAGCACCCGCGATGTTGGTTGGGGCCTTCCAAAAGCTTAGGGTCCCAAGAAGGGCCCCTGGACGCTGAAGGTGCGGACAACAAGCACAAGAACAGACAAAACCGAAATTTGATGGGTTGACAAGTAAACAAGAAGAAACAGAGGTTGAGAAAGACCGACACAAAGTGGCCGAGGAGAAAAAGACAAGCACGAACAACAGCTGTCGAACAATCAAAAGACCCACCAGTGTTGTCATTCACGTCTTCCTGGTCATGGGCGTGCCATCATAATTCTTGAGGGGTGACCAGAGAGGGACAGAGAGGGAGAAAGAGAGAGATAGATAGAGAGAGCGAGAGCGATAACCGCCACAGCTACTTCTTGCTTGAGGAGTTTAATCCTGCATCTCCACCACGCAATAGCCAATGAAACTTGAATTTATCACGCGTTCCTCTCACTATATCCATTGCATAGCATGCTGCTGATGGAGAGAGGGAAAGAACAGCAATCACAAGAATCAAAACAAACAAAAGATCGGCAGAGAACAGCAACGCCAACAAATAACAAATCACCACCTGGACAAGCAAATTTCAACTTGATACCTAACCATATTATTGGATAAACAAAAGCACATGCAAGGGTCAAAAGTTGCAATTCCCTGGTGTCCACTGAAATTGCCCCTGTTGAAGGTCCAAAAGAGGAATGGAAGGAACCAAACCAAAGCGTCAAGCAGCCTGGATCTCCTGCTCTCGTGATTCTTCAAGAGCTCGTCCAGCGAGGTTTCCACGTCCAACGATGCGACCGGCTCCTGCAAAAGCGGTAGCGACCATAGGCGTCCTGTTGGGGGGAGGGTTCCCCTACTAAAACAGACAGATAAAGGGGTGCCCTGATTCTAACCTCTCTACTGGAGGACCTGAACCATGTATCCAACTCAACGAGGCCCCCTTTTCGGGTTGCCTTGGGAGGGGCCCTTGCAGAGCACTGCCATCAGTGGCCAGTCATGCACATGAGAAACGGAAAATCCTTGGTGCAAAGCAACATCAGATTTCTGATTTGCTGAGAAACACATCACAAAAGACCGAAGACAGTTGCCACCATGGCCATTTAGGTTGGTAGAAAAAAATACATGGCACTGGTTTAGAAATTCAATCTAAACTTTAGATTGGCATTCCATATACCAAGGGGCCATCTACCGGGGGATTTCTCCAAGCGTGCCCTTGCCATCAACAGCTGGTTGACGAGCGAAAGGTGAAATATGGCTGTGAGCACGGTCTATTCTAGTTTGGGTTGGCTTACTGGGTTGACCTCCTTGTTTTCCATTGGTCTCCAAACAGCTCCAACAGGCATTCCGTTTGGAGTCTCGCGAAACCAGAAAGAAACACCGGGGAAAACCAAAAGCCACAGCCAAGTTCCCGTCCGACGCCTCCCGCTGAGGCTTGGGGATGGCCAAAGTCAAGCCCAAGGGTTCGAAGGAGGCCTGGCAAGCGTCCAATGGCAAGGGGACCACGTCCTCCGGGCGTCCTTGTGGAAGTCCAGGAAAACACACGCAAAAAAGCACACACACGCAAATCCAAAGAGGGGTCCCCTGTATTGATACAGTCCGATTGTACAGACGGTAGGTCGACAGTCTAAGTTAGTAGAAAGGAAAAGATTTAATGGTTGGTACAGAGTCTTAAACCTGTGCTCCAAACCTAATTGAGTTGTGCTCAAACCTTGATCTAAATCCTTCATGGTTAATTTCAGTTGTGCTCCAAGACCAAAAAGGAAGTTTGATCCCAGCAAAGACCAAGCCTGGTTGACCCAGGACACCGGCGTGGTAACGTCCTCGCAGCTCGCTATTTTTGGCTGGGTCAAGCGATACCGACAGACACCAGTTCGCTGTTTGGGTGGAAATCGAAGAGACCCTATTCTATGAGTGTAGACAGTGTAGAAGTCCTTTTCCAGGAATTCCTTCAAGTTCCAAAAAGGTGGCCGCAAAAGCAACAAACCACAGACATAGGCTGTGAATCAAGACGGGGGAAGGACACAACTTACGGGACAATCGCTTGTAAATAGGCTCCGCGCAAGAGAAACCTGAAAGGAATCTGAGAGCAATCCACTAGTATAGCAAAAGCATGGCTGAAAAAATGCACGTCGCTTGCTTCATCCCTGCTTATCACGCTACCTTTTTTTCTACAGAAGGCCTGTGCGAGTTGCGAAATCCGTTGGCGTTGGTGTGGTGAGCATCCCTGGCAATCATTTGAAGAACAAATGGCTGTGGCTCAAAAACATGTACCAAAATGGCACCTTGGTGAATGGAACCAAAGACTAAAGCCTGCGTAAGCCGAGCTCGTTTATTTTGAGCCACGCCCAAATAGTTCCGTACTGCAATTGCTTTTCATTTTTTTAGCATATCCCAAAACATGTCAATAAGTGGTGCTGGTTGTTCATCAAATCCAGGTCCCTGCAAGGCTGTTTCCTGTCGCATGACGCCTCACGCCAGATTCCCCCCCCCCTCTGACGCGTGTCCTTGCCCTCCTCCAAGAAGCTCATCACGGCCTGTGCAAAAGCCCAACTCTATCTAAGATGCACAAACCTCGTGGGGGAGGGAGGCCCAATAAGCCCCAAATAAGGCCTTATTAGGGGCTTAATAAGGCTTATTTGGGCCACTCCCCTCCCCCCCCCAGCCCCCATGAAAACCCCAACTCAGGCACCAACCGATACTCAATCTCACCTTGGGTCGACACAGGTTGGCACAAGGACTTTGTAGACGCTCTAGCCAAGAAACTGCCTAATCTGATGAGTTCAGAGTGAGATATCCTAATTCTGATGAGCTCACTATACATAGATCTATAACGTTTCAAGCATGGAAGTATGCTGCACATGGACTTGCGCAAACATTGCAAACACGATTGAATCAACTTGCGATGGGCAGCTGAGAATGGGGTACCAGATTGCGGAAACAGCATGTGTGGCCCCTGCCTCCTGAGGAACAATGTTTACTTTTCTTGAATCCCAATGGCTTTTGTCCTCAGGCTCGGTCTTACGCACAGTACCTCCCCCTCGGCAATCCTGGACAAACACAGTGGTTCCTTTTTCGAAACTCACTTCTTCCTCCAATTTAAGAGGATCTATCTCTTAACCGACCCCCCCCCCAAAAAAAAAAAAAGGCTGGGGGCCTTCTTTGGGCCATTTCGACGGCCCACCCCGGGGACTTCCAACGGACACCGCCGCCACGGCCCCCGGCCGTCGGCGCTCGGCGCCTGTGAGGTGCGCATCTTGCCGAAGGCCTCCAGCGCCCCGTCCCCGGGCTTGGCCTTGACCTCGCCGGGGGGGTTGTGCCATGCGGCCATGGGGTATGGACGCGGATGTTTTTTTCTTAGGGCACCAGGAAGGGAAACAAAAATGGCGCAAACCACGGGTTGGTATTTACAGGGCCAATGGTACCAAAAGGACGCCTACTGGGGATGGTTGCGAAAAATCCTCTTAGGCACCACCCTATGAAACCCGGGTTTCTGAGGATTCCCCTGTAAATACCAACAAACATTGGTGTGAACCATGGTTGCTTAGGTGGTGCGAAATGGATTTCGTCCCTCCACGGTAGGGAGGGTAGGGCCTAGGGCTGAAATCCTTCGGCTGGGCTAAGTGATCAAACTGGGGTCCAGAAGGGCCTGTAGAGGCCTTCGAATGGCCTGAATCATTCGGATGGTGAATGCAAGAGAGGTCTGTAATTATGCTGCCCCTGATAATATGCGGAATGGTGTCCCTCCTATGGCACTTGGGATCCCTTCAAAGGAAATGGATCTCACTTTCGGTCTGGTTCTTTGGTGCAACCAGCAGAGCAGGGCTCCTCTTGTACCCCTGTTGCACACCGCCTCCGAAGGAATTGCAATTACAGTTGATGAAATGGTAATGTCTAAACTGGATTCATAAACCCCTGTGTGTCCCATTCCAAAGGGGATCCTTCCATAGGTGTCCTTTTGGAAAAATAGATGGCCCTGGTATATGCAATAAAACCAGCCTGAACCAGGGCCATCTATTTTTGAGCACACTAACCTAAAAAGGACACCTATGGATCCTTCAATTTGGGGGCAAACACCCACCAAATCCGCCAGGTTGAATCCATCGACAACGTGGCCGACCAACCCGCGCCTGGGCCACGTTCCGGCTCAGCCGCTTCCGGCGCTGCAGTACATCCCGGCACAACTTCTGGAAGAGCCGCACGCCTCGCGTCTCAGGGAACAAACTTGGACGTTGAGTTTAGGGCGGGTGTCGGGGATGCGTTCAAGCGAAGGAGCCCTTGAAACGGTTGGCTTATGTGAACATAGATGCCACTGCATTTGCGGAGCCCCTCAAAATTGCAAGTGCATTGCGCAAAGGCCCAGCTCGGTGGCTGCAAAATGTCATGAGCTGGGAGATTGCAACGAAATTATTGTCCCCACGTGCAACCAATGAAGGGGGACCCAAAACATGGGAACGAGCGCGCCCTGCACCACAAATATATCAATGACATCGTCCCCTCCCCCCCCCCCCCCGACGCCTGAAGCATTGCACAGGTCCAGCACCTCCTCGGTGGGCCGAAACTTGGCCCGCACTGGGTCGAAGGCCAGCGGGAAGCCTCGCGCGCGCCCCCCCCCTCCTCACCCTTCCGAAAGGCATCGTTCCATCATCACGGCTCCGTCTCATGGAGCGGCAAAATACCAGAAGTTTCCACGTCCGACCTCTTCAGCGCCTTCCCCAGAATCGCAAGATCATGGATGCCCGAAACGAGGTGCTTTGCACTACTCGAGGCGCGAATCAACATGCGTTGCTTGCGCAGAAGAGCACGAGTCAGCTGCAATCCATGAAGCAACCCGCATCGAAGCTTCGCTTGTGGACGCACATACCCCCCTTTTGAGGCAGGAGAGATTGTTGGCACCAGCTGCTTTCCATCGATCTGTGGTTGTCGCTGTGAAAATCTATGTCACAAGTCTTGGATTGCCCCCACCAAAACCAAGCGGTTTTGATTTCCACAAACAGCTCTCCCTACCGGTACAGCAATAAAATCAGACGACTAAAAAACAAAAACGGGCACGACGCTTGCAGCCGCTGCGCCGCCGCCGCCTCCCTGGCCCCGCCCCGCCTGAGTCCTTGAGCCGGAACTGGAGCTCATCCACCGCCTCCCCGCTCCAGCCGAAGGACCCGAAGACCCCGCAGGGCATGTGCTTGTCCGCCGGCAGGTTCAGCACCACCCCCAAGGCCTCCTTCACCTCGGCGCCGAAAAACCCCAAAGCCGGCGACCCCCCAAAAAGGGGCCCGGTGCGGCCGTCTTAAAGGCGAAGGACGCCGAAATAAATAAAAAAATGGACCCGGTTTTAGGTGCTCTCAGTGGAAAGCCCTTTTTTATCGGCAGGGCCCAAATTTGGGTTGTGCTTGTGGGGGAATTGCTACTAAACCGAATTCAATCATGTTCATACAAGATCGACATCTCTGTGATTGTCTTTGGCCCTTGATATGCAGCTATCCTCCCTGCCGTTCCTGGCAAATATGGTCTTTGCAGGTCTGCATGTCCTTCTAACCATAGTTGGATTCCCATTATTTTGTCTTTCACACTTCAAGTGCATTCCTTTGGCCACATGTTTCATGCCCTCCCACAAACATAGAACCTGAGTAGGGGTGTCTGCAAACATCCTATTCCTTTTAAGGGAACCCCCCCACCCTGTTTCTTTTGTGGGCGGCTAAACAAAGTGACCCAAAGCCCATGTGTCTGCAAAACCCTATTCCTATCAAGGGCCCCCCTGTTTCTTTCCTTGGGCAGCCAATAAAAACAAAAGTGACCCCAAAAACCCAACCGTGTTTTCTCCTTTTGAGGATACTCCCCCCCTGTTTGTCCTTTTTGGGGCCGCCACAAAAACCACGGGGTCACCCAAACCACAAAGCCCTCGACTCGATCGCTGGCGAACGAATCTTCGATCGACTCGCCTGGGAGGGCATCTCCCCACCCAAGGTGGGGCTCCCGATGCAGAAGCCGTCCGCCGTCGCCAGTGCCCGCTCCACGTCCTCGGCGCCGCAGTGCTCCAGGTTCATGTCCACCTCGGATATGAGCCATCTGCAGTCGGCACATTTTACCACATGTCCAAAACCTGAAATAAGAGTTGGATCCAAGTAAAGAGTCTTTACCATGCTGAGCTCGTTTTACCCCCAGGTGTGCTCGCCATAAGATTTGCAGCCGGATGTGGGGCTCAAGCTGGCAATCGTTTTCGCGACGGAAAAAATCGAGAGCTTCCTGGTTTTATGTGTTCCCCGTAGCGGTGTTCTTGCTGAGGATGGTGGATGTGGTTGGTTCTCGCCATATTTGTTGGAAAACAAAATGTGAAAAAGATTCTGCCAAGGTCCCCAAAATCCACCTCAGCTGAAAATATGCTTGGATAACGGCAAGGTTCTGCCAGTTTGCCAAAAGCCTGCACAAAGAAGAGGTTCAGAGCTTGGTCCAATTGGTTTGGGCAGTTGTGTGTACATGTACATTTATCCTTCATGCATACACATTTCTCTACTGTATCAAACAATTATACTGTTTCGCCTAAACGGAAGCAAGCAGGTAGTGTTGCAGGCACTTTTGCCAGGGAGAGGACCCCCTCCTCGTCCTCCTCCTCCTCCTCCTCCCCCCCCACAGAAAAATAGAAAGAAGAAGAAAGAAAAAAAAACGCAAAGAACAAACCCTACCGTCTCCTGATTTGACGTTTTGGTCAAATCGGCCGGCCAGGGACCCCGGCAACTTTGACCCCGCTCTGCGCAAGGCCCCTGGAGATGCTCTCAGCCAAGGTCTTGGTGTGGCCATAGGCGCTGGCGTACATCACCAGCACCTCGAACTCCCGCCGCGTCCTCGGACTGTCTCACTTTGATGAGACCCAGTGGGATGGGAAGCAACGCCAAATCCCGGTGTTTTGGAATGTTCATGTGTTGGAATGTTCATGTGTCTTGTGGGTCATGGGCCCATCTTCCGAGAAGAACATCCACACAATTGCGAGGGCATAGCCCTCAATCTGCCGTCTCAGCCTGCAGCTTCCAATCTCAAGCCGTCTCCGTGGGGAAGCCCTGCAACTGACTCCCCCGGTTACCCTGAAGCACAGTTTGGAGCGCAGCTTGCCCCTTAGACCTCTGTCGTCCAACGGAAAGGCATGGCCAGCGCACCCACCGTTTTGCCGTTGGCCCTCATATGTCCGGAGATCCCCTGCAAATGCCAAGAGAGCTCAGAAGTCCCTCGTACAGGCATAGCCTTGTGAGTTTGTGCATCCCCATCAGGATCCTCAACAGCCGAAACCCACCAACTCTGGAAGATCGCATCGCCACTCGCACTCTGTCTTGTGTTCCTGTGGGCCAAGCGAGCCACATGCCTCCCCCCTGCGCAAGCAGGCCAAGCGTCTCCTTGCGGAGCTTCTGCTCAGTCCAAGCCTCGACATGTTGCCCAACGTGGCTTGAAAAAAAGCAGAAAGGCAGCCATAAGTTGATGAATCACCTGGGTAGAAACAAGGCCGACAAGCTGACAAGCTGCCAATTTCGCTCCAGTAGCGGTAGCACCCAAAGTAAGAAACACGCATGGCTCAACAGAGGCCAAGTGTGTGAGACAGAATTCATCGGCTTTGCGAAACCGGCGATTGACCGGTGGTGACCAAGCTGGAGACTGTCCCTTTTTGTGGGTCCCTGCAGAGGGAGACCAAAAGAACTAGGTCCATCCGGTGATGTGCGCGTGTGTGTCGTTTTCGTTTGAGGGTGAGAAAGCAAACTGAACAACACCCACTATGAAAAATCCGACCCTTCTAGAGCCAAGCCCATGCCGTTCATTTCACCCCAAGAGAAGTGTCAAGCCACCAAACCTGGGGGAAAATACTTGGGACCCCCCTCAGCTGGATGGGATTTCTTAGTTTCAGACCCCAGCCTCGTACTTGGCCATGAGCTTCCAGCACTGCTCCCGCACCACGGGCCCGTGCAGGGGCGCAAGCTGTGCCACGTCCGGGCCGCGCAACGCCTCGAAGCACTGCCCCTAAACCTCATACTCGTGTGGGTGTGCTTTATTTTAGTAGGGCACCCCCAAGAAAAAGAAACATCGGTGGTTTGCGTGTTGGGCTTCCTTTCAATATAGCCTGCAAAGCGAACCTTCAAAATGCGACGAAAATGAGCAGTGAAGGACTATTTAGGGCCATATCCCTATGGCTGCCCTTGCTATGGCTCTGAGTCAGTACTGGCAATAGGACTGCAAGGAAATACGTGTGGCTTGGGGTGACATGCCAAGAGTCGCTTTGGTGGGTAGGTTGATGAGATGTGCATCAGCATGAGCTGTTTTGGTCGTCTGTGCGTGGCTTGTGCTGCTACGCACCATCTGTTCCCATTCCGATGCACCGGTGCCCAAGCACACCGTCAGGTCCTGGCACAAACCAAATCCGCAGCATCCCCTTTCAAAAGACTTGGGGTCTTCATCTTGAAACCTTCGTTTAGGGCTTTGGCTTTGAGGGTTGCCTCCCCACTCGCCTCCCGGGCCCATCGGGCTTTGGTTTTGTTTGAGGCTCGCATCAAAGTTCGCCTCCCCCAGGGCCCATTCAGTCCCAGTCGAGTCACCTCGCAGAGCATGAAGAGCTTCCGCACCGCGACAGCGGCGCGCTGCGTGAAGAAGTAGCAGTCGAAGAGGTGGTACCAGTCCTGCGTCGGACGGCCGCAACATGTTCCCCGCATTTTCCGCGCGCATTTGTTCGGCATTTACGGTACTTGGGGCGATTCAAAGTGGGCTTCGAAAGCTTTTAGAAAGTTTGGTTCAAGGTGTCAGAATTATCAAATTGACCAAAGGTCATCTACTCAATGGCCCGAAACAACCACCCACCCACCCCAACCCCCACCCACCCACCCACACCAACACCCCCACCAATTTTGTCCCGCTCTCATAGTGAACTACAAGCCTTGGAAAACAAGTGCCACTGAACAACTAGGAAATGGCTGAATTGCAAAGTACTACAAATAGCGCAGCATGTAAGTTCCACGTTGAAGTAGAAAAACGCCCCACGCGTTTTGGAATACGTCCTTCTAGCGTTTTGATCGGGGCTGGGCGCGGCTTCTGAGCGCTTTCTTGGGCCAAGGCTTTTGTACAGCAAGGACATGCCGCGCACTCCGCGGACTTCCGAAAACCCAGGTCCTCCACGTACTCCTCCCAGCCCTCCACACCTTTGCTGTCCACTGCGCTGTCATACCTTCCGATGGACCGGTGCGCGCTGAAGAACTTGCCCGTGAAGAGCGTGCCCGTCTGCGGGTCGAAGGCGGACATCGACTCCGGCAGCTTCTTGGTCGGGGTCAGCACGAAGCGCATGACTCGGCCTTCCTCAATCTCCATCCTGAGGAAACAGAACAGCCGGCACATGCTTTCCAGTCGACTCGCCACTCGAATTCTCCTTCCATGTGTTTTCTCCTCTCCGAAAATTGCAGCGTGAATAAAGATCAATGTTGCCATCGGAGCCTGGAGCTGTTCTTGATGGGCACAAAGCTGACCCTCTCCAGGACCTCGTCCGAGAGGGACTTCTTCAGCGCCAGCACGGTGGGCATGGAGCAGTAGACCTCCAGCTTGCACTGCAACGCCAGCTCTTCCAAGAAGGGCACCTGAAGTGAGCCAAGCGCCAGTCGCTTAAGCTGACAAAGCAAGGCGTGCGAAACCTCCGTGGCAGTCGGGAGCAGAGCTCGACTGTAGCCGCTGGGCTGGGAAGTCCGTATGCCATACGTTTCATGCTAAGATCCGCTTGCCTGCTTTCCATCGAAGAACTGGAGCACCAGCCTGCCCAGCTTGTCCTGCACACTTCCAGATGCAAGCGAAAAACCAGCCACATCTCTATGGGTCTGAGATGTTGTTTGGTGAGTACGACACCAAGTCCCAAACAACTAGGTGAGTTGTCCTTGTACTAATTGTGTATCATCCATCCCAACTTTCAGCCAGCTCACTAAACGGGCCTAGTAAATCCAGAGCCCCTATCGTCACAGGGCTCGAAAGGTGCGAGGTCTTCTGCATCAAAACCATCCAAAGCAGCTGGGTCTGCCCATTGGAACCCAAAGAAAAACCAAAGGAACCCCTATTCTGCGGGAGACAAACCCAAGATAAGGGTTTCCTCCATTTCCTTTGCGGAGCCTCCAAAAAAGGTGATCCTTTCGATGGAAACCACCTTGATCAACTTTTGATTCGGGGATATCCAGTGATGGGATGGTGTCAAAGGAATCCTGAGGCGAAAGGAAGATCAACCAAGGAACCCAATGGAACTCAAGGGAAACCAAGGGAAATGAAGGGAAGCCAAAGGAAACCAAAGGAAACCAAACCAAGGGAAAGCAACGGAAACAAGGGGAAACGGAGGGAAACCCAGGGAAACCAAAAGAAACCGAGCCAAGCCCAGGGAAACCAAAGCGACCGCCAAGGCAAAGCCATGTTGTCACCTTCGCGTTCGTTCGGGTCGTGTCGCCTTGAGGCCTTGCTCCATGGCCATCAGCTTGGGCACGAGGCCCTGGCGCTCGAAGGCGCCCACCAGCACCCAGGGCCGCTCCCGGGCCTTGATCAGATACCTCGCTCGCGCGGGGGGTGGGGTGGGGGGGGGGGGGGGGGGTGGGGAGGTTGGGAGGGGGGTGGGGAGGTTGGGTGGGTGAGGGGGGGTGGGGTGGGTGGGGTGGGTGGGTGGGTTGGGTGAAGCTTGGAACCTCAAGGGGTGAATGAAGAAATGGAAAATTGGCTTGAAGAAAAGGAAGCCAAGAGGGGAACGGGCCAAAAGGAAAGAATGGAACCTGGGTCCATACAAGTAATACAAGTGATGATACATGAGAGCCACTAATGACTTTTTGTCTGTCCCCCCCCCCCCGTGTTCTTTTTTGGGGAATCATACAATTGTGGCTTGTTTCTGGGTCCACTAAAGTGATAAGGAATTTTGAGAACCCCTCGAGATGTTCACTTTCGGGATCTCTGGAAACAGGAAGAGACGGTCTCACCATACGCCAAGGTCGAAGAGTGTACGAAGTCGTTGGACTGTTGGCCGAGCGGTTAGTTCTTTTGCTAGTACACTAGTGCTTTGCTGGGTTGCATGGCTGAAGCTCAAGAATCCAAAAGCGCCTCAACATGGAAAGGCTCTAAGTTCGAGCATCCAACTTCAACAAGAACTGGGGTTTGTGTCCAAACGTGGAAACCCATTTTGAATTGCCTTGTACATCAACCCAGGCAATCCGCACCCTCAAGAGTTGGTGTTTTGAGGCAGCCGAGGCGCAGATTCTCCGTGCTCCCGGCCTTGAGGTCGTACTCCTCCCCATACCTGGACCGGTCCTGCCACCCACCCCACCCACCCACCCACCCACCCACCCACCCACCCACCCACCCACCCACCCACCCAGCCACCCCCAAAGCACATTAGGGGATGAAGTAATGCCAAGAAACCAATACTTGCCCAAAAGATGACTACCACAAGGACCAGCAGGTGTTTAAGTGTAAAACGCAAACTACTCTCTAAATTGTTTGAAAACAATGTGTGTTTACCCAAAAAGCCACAAACAAAACAATAACAAACCACGAAGTGTTCCTCTTTCTCTGGACCCCCCCCAAACAAAAAAAAACAACGACCCAGGGCGAGAAGCCGCGTTTCGCGCCTTGGAGTGCACCCCGCGGAACTGGGTGATGCCGTCCAGCTCGGAGGTCACCAGCTCGATTTCCCCCGCCTCCACCAGGCCGTCCGCCCAGTCCCCAATGACCCGCGTGAACTCCGCCGTGTAGCGTCGCCCCACCTCAACGAAACTTGAAGCTGGAAGAACCCCGAGGCTTTTTGCCTTGTTTGGAAGGAATCAGGGATTGTTCATTGGGCGAAGGAAATTTCGAAATGCCGGGGAAGGGGGGGAGGGGGGACGGGGGGAAGGGGGGACGGGGGGAAGGGGGGACGGGGGGAAGGGGGGTGGGCGGCATGTCGCGCGTCAACGTCAAGGCCGGCGCCTGCGGCCTGCGGCTCCGTTCGAAGGCCGCCAGCGCCAGCGGCGCCAAGGCCACGCCCAGGCCCACGCCTCCGCGGTGGGGCGCCGCCCGGGCGGCCGGGGCGGCCAGGCGCGTCGGGGCCCCGGCCGTGAGGGCCCTGGGGGCCCCGAGGGCCACTGGAACTGTCAGCTCCATGAGCGCCTTTTGTAGGATCTTGAGACGGATCGTTGCAAGCCATGGATTGCAAGACCCTCTCTCGCACCACTCTCTCTCGGCTGCAGATATCCAGCATTCAAGTCCTACCCGTTCATTCAAGGTAAGCCTTGAGGCAAGCCATTTCTCCGGTCTCACGCAGGATGCAAAGCAACTTGCCGGCCAACTTGTGCCTGACAACCTTCGTGTGTACAATTGTACACACGTAGGCTGGAATACGTAAAGTGGCTCAACCCAGAGGTCGGAGGCCACAACAACAGTTGCCATTCCAAAGCCAGGCGGCTTTAATGCGCTGTGGTTGCAATTGTGACATCCACAGCTGCCAAATTCCGAGGCCTCCGCTTGAGCGGTCCTCACCGATCTCAAGTGGAGCAAAGGTGTGCTCTGATCTCCGCGCTTGGAACACAAAAGTCTCGAGAACCTGGCAGGGAGCCATCGCCCGCTCGCCGCAGTGCCCTCAGATTGTGCATGGATTGTTGGATTAGTCATATGCCCTTTGAGCTCTTTGAGGGGGGCTCGGCATCATGGTTTGCACAGAAAATCCTTGCAGCGCACCATCAAATACCTTCAAGGGTGCAATGGTATGCTCCTCAAATCGCGAACCGAGGAATTCCGGGCAGCAACTACGAGAAGCAAAAAGAGAAGTTGCTGCGTGAGGCCTTGCGAGCGAAGCAGCGAAGGTTTGACAGTGCCTATCCCTTCGGCTCACATAGAAGGCGAGAGTGCTGACGTCGCGGGCCATTGAGTGCAACGTGTTTACAGGTCACAGTTTTCAATCAAGTAAAGATCATCTACCGGTGTTCAGCCATGCTTTATGAGACAGGTAACACGACAATTGGAGTTCAGACTTGCGGTTTCCATATTTGGCTCATTGTCTGCTCCGTCTGCATGTATGCCTTCCAAGCATGTTTTCCATGGGTGTGCTACTGAAACCCACCAGTTGACGTGGCCCTGGGTAACACAGCCTAGACTCCTTGGGGATCATGATGCCCTGAACTGGAGGCCGTACAAGGTGCAACAGCTAACAGCTGCTGTTTGCAATCAAAGTGATCCCTGGAAACCCCGGGTGGGGCACTTGGCACTCACTCGCCGCCGATCCGCAACCTTGCCTTCTCAGCTGAAGTCGGGGAGCCGCTGGTTGTTGAGCAGCGGCTGGCGCTTGGGCACGGGGAGGTCCTCGGCGCGTAGCGAAATTTGGGGTGCAAGAGCAGGAGCAGGCCTCTGGGCACGCTCCTGCACGATCTGCTCAAATGGTTTCCACTACCCCACTACCCCTATCAGTGGTTTGAAGCTGGAAAAACCACGGTTCCATCTTATCACAGGACCGAAATTTATCCAGGGCTGACTTCCCCAAACAGGGAACTACGCAGGGCTGCGGGAAATGGAATCCACCTCTGTCACACAACCAAGGGGCTTCCCAAAGCCTAACCCCCCTTTTTCAAGGGGAGATTCCCTTGCAACCCTCACAGAAGTGGACATAAACCCAACTTGATCCCACAACCCCACTGCTCTTGACGCCACCCCCGTCTACGCGACCCCACCCGACCACCGACTCGACGACTCGACTCGCCAATTGGCCGTCACCCGCTCGCAGACCACGTGGGCGCCCGCCGCCATGAGCTCCGCGAAGCTGTCCGCGCCGCTGAGCACGCCCACCACCAAGCCGCAGCCCGCATTGCCTCGTGCCGCTGGTCTGGTTGTGTCTTGCTCTTTTTTGTGTTTGGTTGTTGTTGTTTTGTTGTCTTTGTCTTTGTTTTTGTATTTGTTTGTGTTGTTTTTCTTTCTTCCTTTCTTTATTTTTGGGGGGGATTTGTTTGTTGCGTGTATTGTTCTGTTTGATTTTCGTGTTTCTTCCTTGGGGGGGAGAAGAACCTAGGGCGCCACCCAAAAAGGGGGTTTTAGGAAACTTCTTAGTGGTTCTTGGAAGGGTTCTGGCAACATTTCTCTCTTTTTGTACCCGTCATGTTGATGGGGACACTCATGGATTTCAAGGTTGTTTACTTGAATGCATTATGTCTGCTCTTGAACGGGGCAGCCAACCCCAAACTAGTCCCACCTTAACCCTTGCCTATGCCATCCTTACCCGAGTGCTTGGTGCGCAGACGTGTGCGGAGGTCACCCCGAAAACGGGAGAAAGGAGGATCGTGCGGGTCCTCGGCAGCACGATACCATTTTGTTAGGTGGTCAGATTTGGGAAGGGTTTGCGATTTGGAGGATTGGGCGGTGGCGCGTCTGAGAAAAGTTGGCAAGGGTGTGAAACCTAGGGAAATGCAAATTTAACCAAGGCACACCAAAAGGAGCTTGTTGGCACCGCACAGAAACTACAAGGAACAAGCACCTGTTCAAGAAAACCGACCACTCATCTACATGGGGTTCGTGATATGATGAAACGTGCATGTTCCGTAAGCGCTCGAGAAAGATCAGTATCTTCTGCAGGTTGAATGTAGGGCAAGTCCTACTTGGCTTCTTTGGGATGTAGGCTCCTGAAACTACTCAGGTTGATGAAACAAAGGAGCTTCGCTGTCCCGCAACAACAAAGGCAAAGTCTCCCCTCACTCACACGCCCACTCTTGCACGGGCCAACTTGGCGTGAAAACCGGCAGCAAAGTCACAAGAGCTACATAGGTCTCCTTGTGTGTCTTCATTTGCCGCGTCGACAACATGGCACCTCTGCAGGTTGTGCAGATGGCAAGCCCTGAAATCATCACAAAAGCAATGGCACCGCCAAACCCACGAGTCCTTCATTGTACGTGGTACGCCTCAAAACAAATTGTGTGTTTCCTCTTCCCTTTAGATTAATCCTGAAATGTATATTCTCTCTCCCACTAACATGGCACCAGACAGAAAATCCCAAGTGGAAACCAAGTACCCTCCCACAGCTGACAAGTTAATGGGAGGGAGGGTACCAAAAAAAGCACACACACACACACACACACGCACACACATACGAAGAAATCAAGCCACCACCCGCTGAAGCTCTCTCCTGCAACCTCAGCCAAGCTGCGGCCCTCCTCGATATCCCGAACAGAGTCCCCCACCTTGCAAACCCGCTTCACGTTCATCACCTCACTGGTCAAATCTGTTGAAAGCAACCAAAACAATGGCACCCCGAAAAAGAAACACACCCATGAACATTTGTCATGGTTAACACTCCTTTGTGTGGGCTAGGGTCATGCTTCCTTTCGTAGGAGGCCTTACAATGAGTCTTCCTGCCCGAATAACCTTCCCTACCAACGCCAAGTCAAAGGGTGCACCTGTCAACTGCACGTGCTTCATCAAGGCGACGCGGCTCTACACTTGCTTGTAGCTGATCCCAAATCAAGCATGTTTCAACCCTGATTTCGGACGGGTGAGAGCATGAACACTCGCGCAGCCAAAAGTTGTGTGTATATGCATACTTCGTGCTGATTGATGTTGATTATTTAGCAGCTGTGTGGTCCACGTCTAAACTTCTACAAGGCAAAGATCAAGCCAAAGGACTGATGGGCCCTCGACATTGATGTAAGTGATGAGACGGTCGGGTGCATGTGTGAATGTGTGACTAAAGGTTCTTGGAAAAAATGTCCCAGTACCCTGGTCACATCAAGGACGGGCACCCCAGGGCGCGCATAGCTCAAGGCACCCACCGACTTCCAGGATTTTGCAACGTCAATCAACACATCCCGGTCAGCTTGGATACGCGTGTTCCCTGCGTTTTTGTCTTTTATTGGTTCCCGTAAGGTGCCCTGAAAAACGGAGAAAAAACACACACACACACACACACACACACACACACACACACACACACGCTGGATGCCTTGGTCTGCTCCATGAGGTGGTGGACCATGTAAGGATACGGCCGGCCCTCAGGCACCTGCGAGCAAATCGCGTCACGGTGGTAACATCGGCTCCTTATCTGGCCATGGATCAAAACCCAAATCGTACCCCCAGTGAACATCCCAATCCAACCACTAAAATAGGTTCCAAAATGGGTGGTGAATTCACCTACCAACCAAAATGGTATCCCATTGGTGTTGACCCACAGCCATCTCAAGAGAGTCGTGTCCCAAAAAGTTCAAGGTTCAAACCCTCGCATGGGAGGGCCCGGCATGCCACATGAATCCAAAGTCTGACCCTGCTACACTGTTTGTCTCTGAAAGGCGAGCCTCCTGTGTGGCGCATTGTTTCCAAAGCACAACACTCGTGTTCGAGGTTTCAAAAGCATCACTTTTGCCAACATGTGAGTGATGTCATTGGCATGCAATGCATCTTCATCGCTTAACTTTCCTATTGCAACGTCTACATTTGATTCTGGTATTTGCTGCCCCCGCCCCACTTCTAATTGCAATTGGGGTGACTGAACATGCCGATGTTTGCCATTTTCTTCAAAAGGGCATCGCCTTCCGTATAAGCGGTGGTACATCCTTGGCATGCCTAAATTTCAGCGGCTGAATGCCTTTCAAACCCTCTGTGTTTTTCCATACCGGAAACGCAGAAACTCTTTCTGTGCAATTTAAATCGGCTAGGAGCACAATGGGAAGAAGCAGACATTCATTGAGACACTTCAAAAAACAAACCCAAGACACGTTAAAATATCAACAAGGAAAATCTGCAAACCGCGAGAAGCGGCTCAAGATTGGCAGAGAACAGCCTGAAAACAAGAATCATCGAGCAATCGGAAACAAGCCAAAAGGATTCTGAAAAAAATGGCTCCAGGATTCTATCTTGATCTCTCAAGTTGTCCAACAAGTCGCATCTCACGCTGACAGCCGAATGGCACCCAATGTCCAAATGGCACTGTTCCCGGGAACGGTGCGTTGGAACAAGCACAAATTGATCTCTCAACACGGCGGTCCCATCAGCTTTCATGCTCAACAGGCTCCAAGTTCTTCATGCATACTGTATATATAAATCCTAGTGGACCACTCCAAACAGTGAGATTGCCAGAATGAAAAGGGATCTGCCGCCACACCCCTTTCTGACCATGTTGCAATCGCTAGTCCCAAAACAGAAAACGGTTTGCGAGACGTTGGACTATTGAGATGCTACAAAAAGATTCATCGCCACCCATCGGTGCCAATCCTAGATACCGATAGCTACAGGAAAGGCCTCTGGTGGAATTGTCCCATCCCTTGCCCAAATGGTACCGAAGCGAGCGCCTGGTACGAAGATATGTAGGCATCCGCAATCTTGTCGAAACCCAGGCGCTTGATGAGACCCTGCCTAAACGAAACCGTCAGAATGCAGGCCAGCAATTCCGCAGATCCCGGTCTGGTGAAGTCGCTCCAATTCACCCAAAAAGCAAAACTCTCAACTTCTTCTGTCTCAGTGCACCCTTTTCAAGAGGTCAAACCCGATGCCAAGTGCTACCGAGCGTCTGGATGTTCTCCGGATAGCCTGTGTCCTGGGCGACGGACAGGAAGATAGAGAGGGAATGAGAGTGGAATTCTACCTGAGGTATCTCCAGCCAGGTCGGCCACAATTTGTTGGCTTCCTTATAACTGTCGCACTGTACACCAAGCACGGCTAGGCCCGCAACAAACTACATGCACCAATGCAAAGGCATTTGCACCACAATTGGAATGGCACTCAATGAAAAAGAACACCTCTTCATCCAAAGCAATGACCAGAACAAATGGCAAAACTGGTGGTTGATCCTGCTCGGTGAGAGGTGAATGTTTTCTTCATCTTCGCCAAACCCACTTTTTCCTCCAAGAAATAATGTTCCACAGCCCATGTTCAGCGTCCCGGGCAGCGTGAGGCCCGGGCAAACGCGATCTTGATGCCCGAATCCTTGAGTTGCCTGCGTGCCGACGGCTCCATTGTCGCGATACACCCGCGCGGGCACATGGGGTGCCGCGGTATGCTTTCCACCTTCCGGAAGGAAAAGCAAAGTGCGGCTTGCGGTCGGTCTTTTGAAACCAGAGACTCAAACCAGAAATTCACGCGGGCAACAAATCAAAGTGGAAGCCGAGGATCACAAGACGAGAAGCGGGACATGAGGCCCGGTGGCCAACCGGGATACGGGTACGAGTGCGCCTAAAGTAGCCCAGCAGGCCGATGTCGATGTGGTCGATCGCCTAAGGGCATCAAAGCAGCGGTTGATCAAGCAGTCAAAAATGTCACCCAGAAACGAAGGATGCCTGACGGGAGAGGTCGTTGTACCCTCCTGAGATTGCTGCAATTCGTCCAGCATTGGGGATCAGCCACGTATCGATGATAAATGTCTGAAGCAGAGGGCCTGCCGTGCCCACTAGCCTTTGGTGACGCCTAATGAAAACGGCCACACCGCCAAGGCGAGGCTTTGGGGCAGCATGTCGATCTGAACTGCGCCACTTGTCCTTGCAGATTTCGATTCCTGTCCGCAGCGGCTCAAGAAACCCTGCGCTGCTCGCAACAGATTGGTGCCACGTACCATGGCACCAACTTCTCGCCGCGACCCATGCAACATGCTCCGAAGATCCCAAGGCATGCACCGAAGCTTCGTTGAAGTAGGCCTCGTCAATGGCATTCACGAACCTCAGACGTCTGAGTCTCACGAAGCCACCTTTCGCTTGGAGTGCAACCTGCGAAGCCTTGCAGGCGTGCGTCCTACATGAGAGCGCGGTTTCCCTTTGCTTTTTCTTGTTAAAGCACTCTGAGAGATTCCCTCATAAAGTCACCCTGAGGCAGGACGCGGTGTAAAAGGACCGCACTCGATCACAAGATGGATTCCAAATAGCTTGAACTTGAAACCAAGTGCAATTTGTGGGTGCCCTTCCCCAAACATAGCACCGGGGCATCTGGAAGTCCATCTCCGTAGGTGTCGTTTCTGTGAGGAAACCTTCTTGGCTGATTTGTTGTTGGTATACCAAGATGGAAACCGAAGCTATTTCGGGGGTCCGACCTCGAAAAAGGAGACATGCCCATCTATGTCCAAGCAACCCGCAAAACCCTCTCCGCGGCTCCCGGCCATTCTCCCACCCGCGTCACGCGCTCATTCACCTGCTCCGCTGGGGTGCCGGCCTGGCACAGGTCATAAACCCTGGCATTTCAAAAAATTACCCTCCCTATGACACCTGACAGGGAACTGGTCCCTCCAAGAGGACATTCATCTTCCAGGTAGTTTCGGTTGCTATGTTAGTGGGACGGAGGGCAAGCAAAAGGAGCCCTGCACCAGAGTTAACTTCAAGGGCGCATCAGGTTGTGGATGGTTGCACCTGCAGCAACTGAAACCGAAACGCATGCATGGCTCTGAACGGCCTTTTCGAAGGCACCGCGAGCTTTAGGCACCGCATCTCTGGCCTTGCAGAATGTCGAGCCAAACGAGAGGAACCATTGCGGAGCTCAAAAGCCCGCGTCCCATGGGACGGAAACTGACTTGCGGCGTCATGATCCACAGCGGAACGGCTTGCATCGCCACAAAGCCGGCAGCAATCATGCAATCATACTCGTGGCTACGCAGAATGATAGTTGAATTTCGGGTGCCGCCTCAACTCTAGTCCGGGTCTCGAATAGATTGCCGCCAGCCACCGCAAGTGCCACACAGTGCAGGTATCGCCCAGAATCGGTGTTGTCTGCAAACCTTCGTGCTCTCGCTGGTGGTCTGGGAAACGGTTCCCGGGGAAAAGGTCAAACTTTGGCTGATTGGAAAACGACTTTGCGCCACCCTGGACGTCAGAGACCTGATTAGCTTTTTGTCATATCAAGGAGTTGTCAGGTCACCTGGCGCTTTTAATCACATTCCCTGTGAAACCAGGTACTATAACCCCTAAGTAAACATTAGCCAACCAGGGTGATAAATCGTTCACGCGGATGCAAGCGCATCATTGTATCTTGACCGTCCGGGCCGTTAAATTCGGCGGAGCCAGCTGCTCAGCGACCTCGAATTAGGGAGAAAACGCCTCCGTTCAGGTGAATACGCCGATGAGAGGCGAGGTGCGAATCCATGACCTCAAGTACACGAGTCATATTTTTCTCGAACTTCTCAACGGACATCGTATGGTACTCTGGACGCACTGAATCCAGTGAGTCTATTGGTGGAAAGGCTGTCATGATCATGGCCTTGTAGAATGTTGCCTGCGTCTCCCAATCAATGTAGCCTGCATCATCAAAGTAGTCGGCCATCCACGCGCCCATCTCCTTTTTCGCCTGCTCTCGATCAACCCCACCCTGTGTGGCCAATATGGCCATCTCTTTCCTAAGCGCCACAAAGACGCCAGACATCCTCTTCAACAAGACACACGAAAAACAGGTGTGCAGGAGTCAAAACAATGGCACCCTGATCAACATCAAAAATAATCAGCTGTATGGTACCCAAATGGTACCCAAATGGTTCTGACTCATGCCCACACAACACCACCATAATGTCCGCTCCAGCTTCTGTTCCTGCACAAGCAGCTCGCGGTTGGAGAGAATCCGCACCAAATATTCAGCAAAATCTTTGAAGTCTTTCATTGCACGCCTCTGCATCTCGTACAACTTGGCACGCTGTTGCTCATAGCTTCCCCAAGAAACCAATCGTGGCGTCTTGCCAGCCTCGATCATCCTTGGAAAGCCACGGCCGAGAGAATCCAAAAGATGGGAAATCAGGTTCTTTATCTTTTTTAGGCGCCCATGTTTCGAAACCCGTGTATCCATCTCAATCTCAAACCCATGTTTCCGATATCGAGATGGGTACATTCCAAAGTCAAGCTTCTTGAAGCGTACCTCGTCGACGATACGTGTGGGCAGCTCCGCAAAATCCTCATCTGAAAGCTCCTCGTAGTAGCTGAGGTCCTTAAGCCTCAATGAAAACAAATAAAAGATGGCACCATCAATGCATATGAATGCGTTGCGTTTGAATCATTTTTGGATGGACCAATGGATGATGATGGTTCGTTTTGGTATCATCCACTATATCCATCAGTATAGATCTGGATAAGTGATCATGGATAATTATCAATAAACAAAACAGTTGTCCATGATCATCCTTCGCCTTGGCCCACAGGGCCGGGAGCTGGATTCCACGGTAGAGGGTGGGTGCATGTCTGCGTGCTTCCACATGGCTTCAAGGGCCAGAACGATTGGGGGGGGGGGGGGGATTTTGCCAGTTTCTGGGGGGGGTTGGCCGGGGTTGGACTTGAGAGGGGAGTTTGATCGGTGTCTACGGTTTTTTGGGGGATTTGATTGGCTTCTGGAGGGGAATTTGATCCGGTTTTTGAGGGGATGTTAACCGGTTTTTATCAAAAAGTTCACGAGTTGGACCGGTTTCTAGCAGCCTGTTGACCGGTTTCTTTAGAGGGGACTTGACGGCTGACCGGTTTCTAGGGGTGATATGGCCAGTGGACTGACCGCTTCCCGGCCCTGGGGGCTTCCAGGCTCGCTTCAGGCGGACTGGAGGCAGCAGGAGCAGGAATTTGGCCGCGCGACACGGGGTCGGGGGTTCCCGGGGAGGGGGGTTGGGACGACCAGTGCGGATGGAGTTTTGGAGGATCCCGAGGTTCTGAAGGGGTCTGACCGCTTCACGCAGCTCGGCGCCGACTCACTCAGTCTAATAAACACAAAACTTCAAGGCAAATTAAAGCACGGTATATACCTCAAAGCCAGCCAAGAGCGGACTGGCCGAGGCAGGCAACGCGAAGCGTTTACAACAATAGTCATCTATGAGGATTGTCAGCCATGTTTTTTGTGGATCCCGCATCGCAAGATCTTGTAGGAATGAAGAAAGGACGGTCAAATCTCCCATCAATTTCAACATGTTCAAAACTTCAATCCTTCAGCAGCCTTTCCGAAGAACATGTTCTTGCTGCCTATGGTAAACCTAAAGTAGATGGAATATGTCATATTGGACCTAACAATTTGAATGGCATCTACTTCAAGATGGGTGGAGTTCTTGACATGTGGGTGTCGTTTTTTGACGATACCGTGACACACCCATTCGTCTTGCACCATTTGCTGCCGTCCATGGCACTCCAGTGGCTCTTCAGACGGCTTTGGCATCCGTGAAACCAGAGGCATATAGGCCATAGTGGCCAGCAAGGACACAGCGGAAGTGCATACCTTGGACAGTGCTGAAGTGGCTGGCGCCTTTGTTTTGTTTTGTTTTTGTGGGGCATGGGAATATGAGGAAAATCACTGAAACAAAGGTGGCCACACGATGCACCGCGATTCTACACCATTTATCGGGCCACCTACATAGTGGAGCAACCTGTTCCACTTCACATCCAAGTGCGAAGCCCCAACAACAAACACCTCTTGTGATGTCTGCAATGGGAGGACAGTATGGCCATCGAAAACCCATGGATTTGGGGTGCCCCCCTTTGAGACATCCGGAGATCACCCCCACATGTCAGCAGACATTCCAAAAGCAACGGCAATGACAATGCAACAAAACAACGAGCATACTCGGCACTACTTTGCCGTAACATTATTCTAGTTCATATACACTGCCCATTGCTTTCGCATGATATTGATATGTTTCTTTGACAAATTTGACAAGCAACGAGCATCTCCTGACCTCTAACGTTGCCCACCGCGTCGTAGATCAATGAGAAGACCAGCGGCGAGACAGCCATTGAAAGGTTGCTGAATGCCTTGCTCACGGCGGCAAATGCGGTTCCAAATGCCAAGCAAACAAGCTCCCCCTTTCTGCATACCTTGCCTGACCTGCCTCCTCAAATCAGGCCTTTCACCGCTGGCTGTGCATCATACGAGCGTGGAACATTGCAGTCGCTGTTTGCAACTTCAACATCCTATCAAAAGGCATAAAACGGAACAAAATTGGAAAAAACACAAGACCACCAACAAACCTGCGCATGCTGTGATGTTCATATTTTTCCACTTTGGAATATTTGCCCTCTGCCTCATTGATGCCATTCCAGCGGCCGAGCTGGGACTTGGGCGCAAGCTCTACGATGATCAGACCCGAAGCGATGGTCGAGAGAAATCCAAAGAGCTTCCCCGAATACCATGTTGCGAGGAATGGAGCCACTTCCAGCTCCTGAAAGCAGTTTGAAGGAGAAAGTGCATGCAAAAAACAATTGACATTCACATCTGTGTATATACATAGAGGAAGATATACATACCAATGTCTGTGTCTGTTTTGTCTCATCGACAAATAAGAAGGCATGTGCGATGATGTTTGTGTGTGCGTGTGTGATATGTCAACATGCAAACCCTCAGACAGATATATGGGTGTGTGATAATATAGGTGTGTGTCTTTTTGGGTACCCCCGTTTCAACAGGAAGCCAAAAGCAGAACCACCATTTTGGGGGGATCCCCTGAAAAAGGACACACCCATATGCAACTATGCAGAGATCACCTTCTCGCTTGCAGTCCCAGGCACGGCAATCAACACCAACTGCGTGGCCAGCGTGAAGAAGCAGCCGATCACGCAGATGGCCGCGAGGTTGATCCGTTTGCGAAGCAGCTCCAGGATCACCAAGGACAGAATCACCTGGGCGTTGTCGAATTTCCGATCATTACATGACCAGCAACCATCATGGCACGTTAACCATCAAGACCCATCCAGAATTCGATGAAAACCAACAATGATAGTAAGCAAGATTTTGGATAAAAAGGATCAACCTTGGCTCAGCCGGATCCATCATGGGCCAGGGATGATACAGGTTCATGGTAGAAACAAGGGACATTACACATACGTATAAACATGCATATATTTCCAAGTCTTGTAGAGATAGCACGCAAACATAGTATAAGGTCACAATTGCCCTGACTGGAAATGTGGGTCAATAGCAAAACTTGGTTTATTTATTGCTCCCTTTGCTAGAAGCTAAGCTCTTGCTGGGATATGGTCTTGATTTTGTGGAGGAGTGCATCCAGAGCCTCCGCAACTCTCTTTGGAGCAGGAGGTTGCTCGCATACGCCAAGTTCAGAACCTCTGTAACATGGCGCCCGACAGATGGCTCTGCGTCACCTGCCGGTAGTAGACACCACCAACGGAGCCGGGCCTTCCTCACTGCTCCACACCTGCCCCGCCGCCGTCATCAGGCAGGTCCCCCGGCGCCTCCCAAGCAATCCTGTGAATCTTCTGGCTCTCCTCAAAACCTCCATGGTCCCCCTCTGCCTCCTTTTCTGATGAGCTGCCGTCCTCCGCCTTGCCATCTTCTCGAAGGCTCCGCAACCGCCTCCTGACCTTCTCACCCTTGCTCTCACGCCTCCATCTTTTCTGCCTTCTTTCTCAACTCCTCCAGCTCGTCGCACCATGCCCCTTTATCCGCCACCATAAATTTCCTGACCTTCGTAGCGCGCACCAGGTCCTCACTACTCACCACCCCGTCGCAATCTTCAGGGCAAACGTGAAGTCGAACCAGAGGGTCCCGGCGCCCGCTGCACCACCTGAGAAGATCCTCACTGGGAGTGCCCCAAGGGACCAGTCCCACAAAGACACCGCCTATCCGGGGTCAACCGCTCTCTGCCAAGAGGTACAGGAGAAAAACATCCAACCTCTGCTACTGCCGGTCTTTTCAGAACTTCGCGTCCTCTTCCACCTCTCACAGGAGCTACCGCTGCGGGCCTCCTGAGCACCTTGAGGGCCATCTACTTTCCCTTTCCTGACCAACCCTTTCAACCGAACTGCCGCTGCTGCTCTCTCTTTTTCCGCCCCTTATTCTTTCCCCCCCGAGGGCTCCGCGACCGTGCACCAGCTCCTTCCCGATGCAACGCTGGGTTGTTTTTTGCGCTGGGGATCAACTGGCTGGGTGAACTCGCAGGTCGAGCGATCACCAGAACCCTGACCTCCTCCTTTTCTTCTCCTTTCCTCTCTCCTGATCTCTGCCCCGACTGTCTCTCCTTTCCTGTCTCTTCCTGCTGGCGACCTTGACCTCAAAGCCCTTTTCTGATTCCTCTTCTCTTCCCTTTTCTCCTCCCAATCCTTCTCTCCGCGGCTCACGCTTTCTCTCCTGGACGACTCCTTCTTCTCCTCCCTTTTCTCTCCTTTCCTCCCTTCCTTTTCTTTCCTCAACCGCATCACTCACCTCACTCGACGGCTCCTCCTTCACCCTTCACCTTTTCCTCCTCCTTCTTTTTCCTCCTCCCTTAGCTCCTCACCACTGGAGACCAAGGGGTCTCCACACCGGGGGTGAGTACGGACCCACTCCCCCGACCCTCCTCCCTCGGAGCTCTCAGCAAAGTCCAAGAGCTGCCCCAGGAGGGCACGGACCTTCTCTACTTGGCCCTGAGCAGAGCGGTCCGCTCAGGGGCTCCACAGAAGAGCTTGATCCGCTCAAGGGCTAAGCACAGCCCACAACGGCACACTCCCTCAGGGGAGTGTGCCCACATGCGAAAGCTCAAGCCGAAACTGCGGTGAAAAACCGGTGGCGTCCATCTTAACAACCGGGACGTCTTACATATGTACATACATAATTGTCATATGCATATATTATGTAAAAGCTATCATGTCATACCAATATGTGTTGTGATTTGTGTAGGTGGCCGTTATCCAGACTGTATACTAGCGGTTGCGGACCGCACATACAACATACAGCACAATTTTCAAGCGGAAGAAGCCCAGTCAGAACATGAGAAACAGTCTCTGTGATCACCTTGAAGTAGGCGAATCAAAAACCAGAATCGACGTGAAAGTTCCCTTCTGCATGTGTTTGGTAGTTAGGCAAACCTCTAATTTGGTGAGGAGATCAGTTTGGCATCTGAGTCCAAGAAATTTGGGACCCAGTTGCCATGACCAGCAAGCCCAGAAGCAGGTAGTTCTGTCGCTCAGCAGTCTGCCATTCAGGGAAGACGGCAGTGAGCACCGTTCCGCGGGCAATGCGCGTACCTTCATCACCCCCGGAGTCCAAGGCAGAGGCAAGGACGGTAATCTTCAGCAATCGGGCAGCCCTGGGGGGTGTTTCCAAGGTCGCAGGGTCAGCTTCTCTGTCCGGCTCCTGCTCTTGAGGTGGAACCAGAACCACTGTAACTGCGATGAGGGCCGCAGCTGTGACACCGATCGCCAACCAAATAGAGTCAAAGTAGTTGGCGCCGTTGCTGGGGTTGTTCGAGAATGGCATCACAATGAAGGCACCAATGGTGCCGCCAATGAGTCCCATACCGATCACCAAACTGTTATAGCTGTCTCTCTCCTCACCCTCAAAAAGCTGGCCGACATAAGTCGTCGCAATCTGCATGCAATTGCCGAAGAAGTTGTTCCACGCATTGCCCAGCAAAAACAAATAGTATGATTTCACCCAGATGGCTGATGCATAGATGATCACATATCCAATGATGCCCATGAACAAGCAAAGTTGCATGGGAAACTTGCAACCGATCTTGTCACAGAGCAGACCCAGAAACATTGAGCCCAAGGCAGATCCAAAATAACCCACGGACATCACCAGGTTCATGGAAAGTGCATACTTCACCGGTGGCGAGCCGGACCATGCCCCACGTTCTCCTTTGAAGGCATGGGGCGAGATCAACTGCTGAATCTGCTCTTGGTAGACTTCTTCCGGCAGGTTCTCTCTCTGCTTCTCAAGCAAATCACCTGGACATTGTCAAAAAAATGGTTGCAAATTGGTGCACATTATAACCATTTTTTCTAATCACCTCCATGAAGCATCCTTAAGCATCCGGTCACATTTCTGTGACCAACTGACCTTTGGCAACTTGTGAAGCCTGGACCACCCTCCGCAAAGGTGCACACCGATGCCAGTCCCGGCAGAATTACAGCCGTGCCCAAAATGTCGGCGAAAACTGCGAAAAGGGTCACGGCCACGACCACCCGCTGGAAGCCTTTGCTGGTACGCAACCTCACCTGCACTGCAGTGATGCGGTTGTAAAACGGCTCCGTTGCCGTGTTGGAGGATCTGCACGGGCAGGACTTGCAGACCATGGCGGAGACAGCTGCGATCAAAAGAAACACAGGCAGTGAGAATCGAGCTAGAAGATGGGGATCTCGCCAACAACGGCTTGATAACAGTTACCACAAAACATCATTGGACAATCAGAAACCACTTCGGAAGCAATCCCTGTTGCACTGAAGCAAGCCTTGCCCAGAAATTAAAAAAAGAATGTAAACCCTCTCCTGGCACACGAATTAGATTCTAGACTCATTCATGCGCAGCAGCTGTCTGATGCTTGTTAGGGTCATGCTTTGGCCGCAGCTTTGACATATTGCTCTGCGCCACGGATCAAAGTGAACAACGTCATCCTGGCTTGAGCTCTAAGCTGCAATGGTTGCGCCGGCGTGTCAAATTCCACAAGCTCCACTAGCCCCAAACGTGCAGTGGCTTCCTGAGAACCCCATCAGCCCCTTTCTAAGGTCCCCAACCATTGCCACTCGACTCGAGTCCAACATTGGACCCAGCCTCTCCACAAAGGGTTCCTATGTCCAGGGCTCCCTTCGGAGCACTCTGAAAGCTTGAAGCCATGGGGTAATCCAAGCCGTCGCCGCCACGCCAGGTCTTCAGTTTGCGTCTACCAGCAAGGGGTCCTATGTGTTCGCGAGATACGGTTGGCCGCTTCAGGATCTCCTTCCCCGAACCTGTTGCTGCCTTCAGGGCAAAGTGCTCGATCACCGCCTCCTTCTTCGCCTTGGCACGGCTGTTGCAAAGTGCATCTTGCCGGAACTTGCCGGGCATGAAGCCCCACGAAGTAAACAAAGCGCTTCTACAAGAGCGTTCTCTCGGCTTCCTTGGTCAACTCCGAAAAATGTACATCACCCCCCCTGCCCCCAACCCATCCAATCAGCAACAGCTCCCTTTTGGCCTGACAATGTTGACCCCAGATTTGTCAACCTGCAGGAGTGTTTGCAACATGGCATTGGTCAAGCAGGCACGATGCAGCCAAATGTCCACCTACACCAAAACAGCTGCTTGATGTGCCGAATTGGTCGCGGAGGGGCAAGTCATTGACTCAAGGTCCCGGACAGACCGAAATCGACAAGCATCCTGAATCCGGTGTCCTCACTACATGGGTAGCGTTTTTCAACCCAGCCGATTTAACCCATGCGTTGAAATCAGGGACCTTCCAAACAGCCAGCCATTTGGAGAGAAGTCCCTTTTGGCCGCCTTCTTACTGCCATGCGAAAGTCTTCGCCAACCAACTCTGGCCACATCCCTCACTGATCCGAGCTGCTCCGTGCCAGGGATGCCTCGGCCAGGGAGTCTCCAAACAGCGGAATCCCATGGGTGGCCCTTTGGTTACCAGCCGGAGAAACGGCAAGCCTCGAGAAACACCAAGTTGGGTTACATGCTCGGGATCTTGGGAGCAAAAGACCACTTTAGCTTCTTGCAGGATAGAAGGGAAGCGATGAAAACGTGATCGGCGTCAAGTTCAGGAATCTTCGGACACGAGTATATACCCTCTTACTCAATAAAATGGAACTTAACCGGAGGCACCGGGAGTACATCCACAGCAGCCCTGCAGGAATCGAATTGCAACTGGTCCCAGGTTCGAGAATGACCCGCGGACTTCTTTTTCGGCCAGGGCGCATTTCCTCATCGGACACCGGAAGGCCATCTTCACCTCTCTCAATCCAAGCATGTGGCCAATCATAACTCCACTTGGAACAACCCAGCGGTACCCTTCTCCGCAAAAGCCCAGGGCCAAAACCACTCATTTTAGAACACAGCTGACGGAAACCACTCCCTTCGGTTGGACTCCGAATCCCAGATCGATGCTTTTTGCCGGTGCGAACTTCTTCCTTAAGCTCCCAGCGCATCGCCAGCTGCAGGGTCTTGTAGACAATGCCACCCTCCTGAGGCGCAGAACTTTGCGCGTGGCGTTCGGGGCCAATGTCCGGGCAACCCTTTGGGGAAGAAGCGGGTACGGCCCCCCTGCTCATGCAGCAGGGTGCCAGCCCAAAAACAAAGCTCACAACAGGCTCGGCCCCTTACAGCGACCAAACAAGAGTGTTGCCCTCAAAGGAAAAACCACACCCACACAACGAAAAGGTGGGCGGCCTGCACGGTAGTGCCGGCCATGTCGTAGACAATCAGGTCAATGTCGTTCAGGAGGTTCCGCGCGGCCTGCCACATGGGACGAGCTTTTTGAGGGGGGGGCTATTTTGGGGGGGAAAAGAGAACCACCAAAAGTTTAGTGTTTCTTTTGTTTGGAAAGCAACTTGAGACAACCTCATTTACTCACATCCACAGTGGGCATTTGTCACTTCATCTTCACCTCAGAATTGGGACCTTCTTTGTAACAAGAACCAGCAGGAAACCAACCATCTGCATGTCCCAGAAATGTTGGACGAGTTTCTCTGCACATCTGATTCACAATCAAAACCCGGTATCAACATGGTCTACCCAGAACCATGTAAAGAATTGACAAGGGGCCGCGCCCATTGGCCGGGATTAATTCTTACCCTTCAATTACCCGGGCTTTGAGCACGATGACTCAAGGCCTTCAGCCCGAGAGTTTGGTCGGTCCTTCTGCAGCATGTGCGGCGAGAGTGTGATGGGCTGATAAGGCATCGCCTGGCAACTAGGATCCAGTGCGAGTGCCCAAACATGTACGCACATGTACGCACATGTACGCATATGTACTTACATGTCTACCCGCAAAAAAATGTGGAAGCATTCCTAAGCCGCCAGAGCCTTATACTTTTATGGCTTCCCTCACAGCCTGGCCCAAAGCCGCCGGACCGACTCCCAATTTCGTTGTTCGAAACTCTGGCGTCCACAAAATGCCACGGAGCCTCCCCATGCCCGACAAGGGCTATGTCCATGAAAAGCTCTTGGAAGCACAAACGCGTGCCGCGTGCAAGCGGAGCTCCTTTGGGGCGTCGCTGGCAAACCTCGCCGAAGGAGCTGCCTGCAAACCCGATGGCCAAGAGAATTGGTGTAGCATGGAGACGGCTTTCTCAGTGTGGACTTGGTGACCCCTTTTCAGCCCCATGGATACCCTTTTTGTCAGCTTTAGCACTGCAAACGAAGATCTGCAGCAGCAACACCAAATCCTAGACTGCAATTTGGGTGCCATGCCGTTGTTCAAGACGCGCAACCACCTCGCATCACTCTATGTTGCACGCGAGGCACAAGTGTCCCTCGCCTGCAGCCGCCCGGCATGGGCCGCTCGCATCCATGGCAGGCGCCTCGGCACCACGCAAGGCCGATGTCAAGCCGTGCAAGAACTCCTGCAAACCACGGTCCCCCAATGAGGAATCCTTATGGTTTTGAAGGATCAGTATCTCCAAAGCACGCATTCACAACATCGACCAAACTCGGGGCACAAGAGGTCGTGCTCACATCCCTTTGCCAACCTGACAAGACGAAGTAGTACTACCTTTGGACAGCCTCACATGTTCTCCAATTGAAGTGTTCCCAAGAAAAGGGACTGCAAGCCCCACTTCAACCACACTCCGGCCTGCAGCAAAGAATGCTAAGACAACCAATCCATGTCTCACCCAAACCTCTTCGTGAAGTGTCGCACGCAGAAAGGAACCCCCCTTCTCGCACAAAGGTCAAACTCCCAGCGCCCTCTCTTAGACCTGTAGCTGCCCAACCCGCAAACGCCCCCCGCCTTGCAGAGCTGAGCGCACGCATGGCAAAGGCTCGCAAGAAGGCTCCGAGAGCTACGCAAACAAGCTTCCGCACTCTGAGGCGGTGAGACAAGTCAAGTGCTGAAGTGTTGCTAGCAGGTCAATGACATTTGAGTCACCTGAGTCATTTCTCCAGCACCTGAGAATCAGCTCTCCAACTCGAGCCCGGCCAGGCCCGGAAGGTAAACCGGAAGGGGAACTGCCTACAATCCCCCCCTTTTCCGTGGCCTTGCCGCATGTGCTTTGCGGCAAAATCTAGAAAGTGAAAGCTCTTGAGATACCTGGCAAAGCGGCCTCACCCTGCACCCCGCCCCCCCTCCCACAGGCCGAGGGGGTGCCGCACCGCATCGTGCGCAGCATCAGCTGAGCTTCCTGTACGAGCAAGAAAGCTGCATGACGTGCGGAGTCGAGATGGTTCAGAAAGACTACTCTGACAACTCCCTCAACAAAAGACTACTCTCAGACCCTTCAACCCTCACTTCCCTCAATCTGACGTTGGATGACAAAAGTGTCACCGCTCGCAGAGCCTCCAAAGCCGCCACCAAAGTCTGCGCCAAAGCCACCAAAGTCGCCGCCGAAGCCGTAGCCGCTGCCGCCATTGGCTTGCCAGCTGGCGGGAACCACCACAAAGTGCAGGATGCAAGTGAGGCAAGCACTTGGCGGTGGGTCAAAAAGAGGTAGCCCAAATGGAACCCAGTGGAAACATGGACTGCATCCTGCGGTCCCCTGGAGATTTAATTTTGACCCATCCGCACTTCTTTTCTCGATCACCAAAGGATTTCAAGCGGAGGCACAGCGCCAAAAAAACAGATGCATCGGGTTCTCTTCTCCGCCTTGACATGCCGTCAGCTGCCTGCCGGGGCTGAAAGGCCAAAGAGGCTTCGCCGACCTGCCCCAAGTTCTCGGACAAAAGGCGCCAAAGTTGCGTAACCGTTTCTCAGAAGCTTATGGCTAGAATCACTGCGATGCAATTCCCAGGCCCTGTTGTCATGGATGTTTTCAATGCTGCAAGTCAACCCACCACAAGGAAAAACATGCAGGAGGCTGCTCCACGACAAAGCCTCACCTGCCACTCCATGGCGTCCTTCAAAGAATCCACCCTTCCTGAAGGCCATGACTGTGTCTCAGCAACAAACAATTTGCTTTCCCGATCGTTCAAGGGTAGTCCCCCCCTCTCCTCCCCAAACACACCACGGGCTACCATAGACAGTGACACTGGGATTTATGTCCATCCACCTTTTGCGGACATGATTTACATGGAGATTCTTGTTTACCCAAGGCTGTTGATGGCATTTCTTTTCGAAAATCTTTGCCCCCTTGCCCCACAGAACAGCCAGCCTCGTGCGCCGGCGAGGCCTCGCTGGTTCCTGCACTAAGCTCGCCTGCTTGCAGGACGGATGTTCGCTGGGCAAAACAAAACGGGAGATGCCCGCATTTTTGCACAGACAAAAGCGAACCCTGTAATTTGCCAGAGTTCGCCCACGTTCCTCGGTTTGGATGTGGTGCGCTCCCTTGCAATATTCAACAGTCGGGAACGGGCAGCCGAGTTGCGACCCAGGAACTCAAACAAACCCCAAAAAGGAAAGCAGGCCCTGCCAAAACACGCACAGGCGGCTCGGCATGTGGATCGTTTTGAGAACATGTTCGGATCAAATGAAGCCAGCTACCTTCGCTCGCCCAACAGGCCAAGCCCCACCTGGCAGCTCGCTGTGACGATGCTTGCCTGGAGCCGACGTGTCGACTAGGTCATGCCGACGCAGTGACACATACACATACACAAATATAAACAAGCAGGTCAACTGTTTGTCTTGGAAGGACAACCTCTTCCTAACCACAAGCGGGACACTCGTCAGACCAGAAACACATGTTTGAAAACTATATCCTTACTAAACTATATTCAAAATTCCAATTGTAGTTGAAGTCAAATCCTATTTGGAATGCGTATCATATTGGGACATTGTGGAGAACTCCGGGCTCCAAATCAGGCTTCGGGGACCCACAATTGGACATTTCGAGAATCCAAATTTTGAGATTCTAGATTTGCCATCCCCAAAAAGCAACAAAACCAGGGTCCATAGGGGGGGGGGGGGGTAGCGACATATATATATATATATGTATATATATATATATATATAGTAATAATATAGTAACATAAATTATAGAAAGATGGAGACAGAAACCGAGAAGCAAAGACAGATGACGGACCGACTGACAGACACAGGGAGGGGGAGGATGAGAGAGAGAGAGAGAGAGAGGAGAGAGAGGAGAGACGAGAGGGGTGGAGGGGGAGAGAGAGTAAGAGAGAGAAGAGGGAAGAGAAAAGAGAAAAGGGAGAAGAGAGGAGAAAAGGGAGAAGAGAGAAGAAAAAGGAGAGAGAGAGAGAGAAAGAAAAAAAAACGCAACAAAGCAGGAGAGAAAGAGAGAAGAGAGAACGAGAGAAAGCGAGAAAGAGAGAAAGCGAGAAAGAGAGAAAGAGAGAAAGAGAGAAAGAGGGAAAGTCAGGGAAAGCCAGAGAGAGAGGGAGAGAGAGAGAGAGAGAGAGAGAGAGAGAGACAGCGAGAGAGAGACAGAGATAGAGTACCTCTTTTGTTCGCTTCATAGCTTATCGAAATTATCGAAATCGAGTACCACAAGGCGCACGCTCCCCACACTAAGTGCGGGGTCGCAGCACTTCCGTCAACTCTGCATGACGGCAAATGACTGCTCGCTCACTTCATCGCCTTCATAGCCTTCATGGCCTTCATGGCCTTCATCGCTTTCATGGCCTTCATCGCTTTCATCGCTTTCATCGCTTTCATGACCTTCATCGCTTTCATCGCCTTCATCGCCTTCATAGCCTTCATAGCCCTGGTCCGAGCAGCTTGCTTCGCCCCCATCTTCGCGATGAAGCTCCGCACCGCCTTGTCCCCCGCCTTGGTGAACTTGTAGTTCTTCCGCACGTAGGCCATGGTGGACTTCTCCATGGTGTCGTAGGTGGAGCGCCCGTCCGCGGTGGGGCGGCAGGCCTTGCAGATCAGCTTCGCGTCCTTCTCCGCGATGCGGCCATCGCCGGCGCCCTTGACCGCGATGTCCGCAGCCTTGAGAATGGTGCGGTCATACTTCTTGCCCTTGATGGTCTTCACGCGGCCATAGTCGATCTTGCGATACTGGCCCTTGGTGTTGCGGGAAGTCAGCTTCTTCATCACCGCCATGGAGGCGAAACAAGCGAGTGCGCGACTGAGGATGACTGACGAGAGCTAGCGAGCCAAAACTCTGCTGGTGCAGGTCAGTTGCAGAGAATGCAAGTGGTCTTGCTTTTAGTTTTCATTTATGAGTTCCTGTCACACAATGACTCATCATTCAAGCTGATTCCAGGCCTTTCTTTTTCTTCTTCTCATTCTTCGGCTTGCGTTCTGCCTAGCGGGACTCTGTGAACATGCCCATTCCCATGCTCCAAATATCCACTGCGCAAAGCTCGTTCTTCCGGCTCAGCGGTCATCCAGCTTGAGCCCGACGTGAAACGAAAAGAAAGGAACTCGGCCACGACTTGGCCAGCAGACATCAGCGGCCCTCTCCAGGCCTCGTGGGCGAACTGGTGCCTCAGTGCCATGGGGCCCTGAATGTGGCCCCAGCAATTCGTTGAACGGAGGTTGCTCTGTGGCTCTGCAGACGCTGAGTAGTTCTCGGAAAGAAAAAAAGAGGGAATCCAAAAAAGGACCTCGAGTTGTCCCAAATTGCAAACAAAGCGCCAGCCTCTGCGAGAAAAACACGCCTTTCAAAAGCCCGGAAAATCCATGACATAACGTACGTTTGCTGAAGGAAACGAAAACAACCATGTCTGTGTGTATGTTTCCTGTACTGTTCCTCTCCTGCATGGTTTCTGTACGGTTCCTCTCCTGTATTGTTCCTGCATGTTTCCTGTATCCTTTTCAACAAAAGGAAGTAGGGGAGGCACTCCACACCTCCCAAGCGAGTAGCACCCAGTGCCCAAGCCTGGGCGAGGCAGTCGGCTCAACTGGCCGCTCCACTGGCGACTCCTGGCTCAGGTGTGTTTGCGCTGATTTTGTTGCAACGGGAGTGGACTTGTTCAGGAACAGAAGCCGTTTCAACTCAGGAAAACTGCGTTGCTCGCCTTATTTCGAGGCTGTATCAGATAATGCCTCCTGGATCGTCACACCAAAAAACGTCTAGGATGTCAAGAAGAGACCATGTTTCCTTGTGCCATGGTCACTACATTGCTTCGCCCGAAAAACAAGGGCCCCAAGCCCTGAAGTTTCAGGGACCCAAGTCCTCTTTTCCCAAGGCAAAAAGGGCAGCAACGTTCCCTCGTACGGGGCCTGCCTACCCAAATGAACTGTTGGTAACAGTTTGGGCTCGTTCGCAAAGGCTGCACAAGTGAGACCGCGCGCCAGGGCCTTCGGCTTGTCGGCTTGCCTTACAGGTGCCTGGCAATGAAGGCTGCCTCGAGGGCCGAGCAACATGTGACCTGTGCTTAACATCCACTTGACTTAGGCTTCGAGAGAAAAGTCTCCTGGGACAAACATCTTGAACAGGTGTTCTTCCAAAATATCGGATCGGAAATGGCCTCTTTTTTTGGATGGTTCTTGAAGGGAGACAAAAATGACGATAAACACCAACCACACTGATGCTCATTGGATAAAGCTCTGCCGGCTCCGCGCTTGGCAGCTCCGTGGCCAAGGCAGCAGCCTGGTTCCAAAGGATGCCCTTAAAGGAAGCCCGGCCCCAAGGTTCTGTTTCTTCGAAAAGAAAGCCCCGATCCTGTCGTTGGGTCGATTCCCAGCTTTGACACCATTTCACCGCATGCGAAGATTGAAGCCCCTTGTGTGCAACTCACGTGATCTGAGCTCGCGCAAACACGACTGGTCACGCAAGCAAGTGTATTGAAACCAGCGCGAAGCTATCTCCTGCCTCAGCCATGACAGCCGCCTCAGAGCCGAAGTGGCATTTGAAAATGTGTGTGTGTGTGTGTGCGAATCTGTGTGTGAATGTGTGTGCGTGTGTGTGAATGTGTGTGTGTGTGTGAATGTGTGTGTGTGTGAAAGTGTGTGTGAATGTGTGTGTGTGTGTGTGTGTGAATGAGTGTGTGTGTGTGAATGTGTGTGTGTGTGAATGTGTGTGTGAATGTGTGTGTGTGTGAATGTGTGTCTGAATGTGTGTGTGTGTGTGTGTGAATGTGTGTGTTTGTGAATGTGTGTGTGTGTGAATGTGTGTCTGAATGTGTGCGTGTGTGAATGTGTGTGTGTGTGTGTGTGAATGTGTGTGTGTGTGTGAATGTGTGTGTGTGAATGTGTGTGTGTGGATGTGTGTGTGAATGTGTGTGTGTGAATCTGTGTGTGTCTGTGTGTGTCTGTGTGTGAATGTGTGTGAATTTGTGTGTGTGAATGTGTGTGTCTGTGTGAGTGTCAGTGTGAGTGTGTGAGTGTGTGTGTGTGTGTGTGAATGTGTGTGTGTGCCGTCCTGGATCACGGACGATAAAAAACCGGTGGGGGGCCACCGGGGACCAGGGGGGGCGGTGGCCAACGAAGACCCCCCTCTGGTCCCGTGAAAACGTACCCGCTGTTGGTCCCTTTGTTTTCGTGATGTTGGGTCCCCAAAAGTCGCTGTCTGCTTCCTTTGTTGTTGATGCCAAGGGAAGCCAAGGGTTTCTTGCTGTCTTGTCTGCGAGTGAAGCCACTCGAGATAAGTGTGTATACCCACGGCCTGTCCGACATGGCGCCGTGGGCTGGACTCGCCATATGCGGGAGCCCCCTGGAGGGGATGACGTTCAAATGTTCAAGTTCAGTTCAGCGTCCGCCAATTTACACATGGGAGACTCTGGCAAGGCTGCCACTTGGAGGTTCAGGTTGGAAGGTTGCACTGGCATTGCCATGCTTTGGACATTTGCACTCTTGCGCAAGGCAGCAAATTGGAGGCACAGGTTAAGGTCGCTGTGTCTGCATGTGCTAGTGATACCAGAGCCCACATGGCCTGGTTGCTCGTTCACGGTTCACTGCAGCCACTGTCTCGAATCAGTTCAATTCATGTTCACGCCTTGACTGCCACTTTCGTTTCTTGCGAAACCTTTTTCCGTTGCCGCGGGTTTTTTGTCGGTCCCCTGGTGGAATTCCCTCGGTTTGGTTTTGTGCGCTTGGGTTTTTCGTTTTTCGTCTTTGAAAATCTTTTGCTGTTGCCGCGGGGTGTTTGGCGGTCCCCTGGTGGAATTCCCTCTGTGTGGTTTTTGTGTGCTCGGGTTTTTCATCCTTGAAAATATTTTGCTGTTGCCGGGGGTTTTTGGAGGTCCCCTGGTGGAATTCCCTCTGCTTGGTTTTGTGCGCCCGGTTTTTCGTCTTTGAAAATCTTTTGCTGTTGCCGCGGGGTCTTTGGCGGTCCCCTGGTGGAATTCCCTCTGTGTGGTTCGTGTCCGCCCCACCGGGGCCTTGTGTGTGCCGTCCTGGATCACGGACGACAAAAAAGCCGGCGGGGGGCCACCGGGGACCAGGGGGCGGTGGCCAACGAAGACCCCCCTCTGGTCCCGTGAAAACGTACCCGCTGTTGGTCCCTTTGTTTTTGTGCTGTTGGGTCCCCAAAAGTCGCTGTCTGCTTCCTTTGTTGTTGATGCCAAGGGAAGCCAAGGGTTTCTTGCTGTCTTGTCTGCGAGTGAAGCCACTCGAGATAAGTGTGTGTGTGTGTGTCTGTCTGTGTCTGTCTGTGTCTGTCTGTGTCTGTCTGTGTCTGTCTGTGTCTGTCTGTGTCTGTCTGTGTCTGTGTGTGTTGTGTGTGTGTGTCTGTCTGTGTCTGTCTGTGTCTGTCTGTGTCTGTCTGTGTCTGTCTGTGTCTGTCTGTGTCTGTGTGTGTGTGTGTTGTGTGTGTTGTGTGTGTTGTGTGTGTGTGTGTCTGTGTGTGTCTGTGTGTGTGTGAAAGTGTGTGTTTGTTTGTGTGTGTGTGTCTGTGTGTGTGTGTCTGTGTGTGTGTGTGTGTGTGTGTCTGTGTGTGTATGTGTCTCTGTGTGTCTGTGTGTGTGTGTGTGTCTGTGTGTGTGTCTGTGTGTGTGTCTGTGTGTGTCTGTGTGTGTCTGTGTGTGTGTGTGTGTCTGTGTGTGTGTGTGTTTGTGTGTGTCTGTGTGTGTCTGTGTGTGTGTCTGTGTGTGTGTGTCTGTGTGTGTGTCTGTGTGTGTGTGTGTGTCTGTGTCTGTGTGTGTCTTTGTGTGTGCGTGTGTCTGTGTGTGTGTGTCTGTGTGTGTGTCTGTGTGAGTGTCAGTGTGAGTGTGTGTGTGTGTGTCAGTGTGAGTGTGTGTGTGTGTGTGTCAGTGTGAGTGTGTGTGTGTGTGTGTCAGTGTGAGCGTGTGTGTGTGTGTGTCAGTGTAAGTGTGTGTGTGTGTGGCAGTGTGAGTGTGTGTGTGTGTGTCGGTGTGAGTGTGTGTGTGTGTGTGTCAGTGTGAGTGTGTGTCAGTGTGAGTGTGTGTCAGTGTGAGTGTGTGTGTGTGTGTCAGTGTGAGTGTGTGTCAGTGAGTGTGAGTGTAAGTGTGAGTGTGAGTGTGAGTGAGAGTTTGAGTTTGAGAGTGTGAGAGTGTGAGAGTGTGAGAGTGTGAGAGTGTGAGAGTGTGAGAGTGTGAGAGTGTGAGAGTGTGAGAGTGTGAGAGTGTGAGAGTGTGAGAGTGTGAGAGTGTGAGAGTGTGAGAGTGTGAGAGTGTGAGAGTGTGAGAGTGTGAGAGTGTGAGAGTGTGAGAGTGTGAGAGTGTGAGAGTGTGAGAGTGTGAGAGTGTGAGAGTGTGAGAGTGGGAGAGTGTGAGAGTGTGAGAGTGTGAGAGTGTGAGAGTGTGAGAGTGTGAGAGTGTGAGAGTGTGAG